TTGATATATTCAATAAATAACAAACCAATCATGTGGTAATCGAAAGATGGATACATATTACAGGGCTCTCATACCCCATTTTGGGACTGGGGCCTGGGGCCCTTAGAATCGGGAAAAATAATGGTGTTTTCCTTAGAATTGGTAAAACTTCGGGTCTAAATTGGGGAAAAAAGATACTATTTTGCATTGGGAATTCGACCCCAAATCTGGCAGATCGAGAGCCCTGTATTACCTCTAATTTACCATCAAAATGTCTACAAACCTTATACTATTAGAAATCTTTACATGTCACTGTATGGTAGCATATACCTTTAGCTGAATTTTTGTTCAATGTTCCCTTGGTATAGAGTTTTAGGAATTGATGTGCCTCAAGACAAATGGATACAAAATTATCCACAATAAACTTAGATTAGAGTTTAGAGTTTTCCTAATGCAATGTGTTGTGTCTGATCTGTGTGAAAATCTCTGTGTAAAAAAAAGTGTTTAAATCTGAATAAGTGATCAAAAGGATAGTAACATTTTTCTGAGCAATGTAACATTGGGAGAGAACTGTAAATTTTTAACATGCATACATTCATAGTAAAACAAATTTAATTTCATTAGGGAATCCATTTCAGATTGAAAATTGAAAGTTGTTGATTTTGTTTGACAGATCCATAAATCTGAGATCGCTTTGGGAGATACACATGCACTATTGCGCTTATCCAATCAGATATTTTATCTCTAGAAATTTTGGCAATTGTTTGAAAAAAAAAAAAAAAAAAAACCCAAACACGTTCTTGTAGTTCCCTTGAGATATCTTCAAACAGGTTAACAATCTTGAAACTTTTTCTTTTATTCAAAAATTAACAAATTTTTATTAGTACTTGAAAGCATAAAACAATCTGCCATTGTTAATGGCACGGAACAACAGGATCTAATCTCTTTACATTTATGTTAGTAGCAACACATCCAGCCAACTTAGAGAGTAATTTCTGACAAAAAAACAAGTGTTTTTATCCCTTATTTTTTTCTTATTTCAACTATTTTATAATCTTTACAAGTCCTATTGTGAATGGAGATAACAACGTCCATTTCCAAGATTGCTGTGCATCCAGATAAACACTTCCAATCAGTACTTCACTTAAAATCATGTGCATCATCATTACACTAAACCTGGTATTCAATCAATCGCCAGTCAAAGCCTGATGGAATTGTAATTACGTAAATAAGAACAATTTGTGCCAAAAATAGTTCAATTACACGACAAATTAATTTATGGTACATGAACATCAAACAAATCAGCAATTACTAATTTTCTAAAGAAACATTATCTTTCATGTATGAAAACATACAACAAACATTTAACCAGTATATGGGACAAAATTGACAACATTCTGGCTCATTGATTGTTTCATCTTTAAAAAACATCCTTGTCATTCTTATTTATAGCCTTGACCTCAGGACATAGTTATTTTCTTTACCTCATTAGCATCATAGATTGTTAGCACAAAATTTCATATAATTATTTTTGAAATCATTTCTTTATTATTTTTTTTTTATTTTCAATGCATTAAATTGTCCTCTGAAAAGTATACAAAAGAAGCTCGCATTTTCGTCTAAAGCAATATAAGATACAAAAAAATGAAATTTTATTGTCTTTTTTAAAATTTTAATATGGTTTCATCCTTAACTCAGTTTTCCCAAAGCATTGTTAATAGTTAACACTTAATTTGTTACAGAAAGAAAAAAAAATTGACTTGAGTCATCCCAGTACTAGCAACAGGACTTATTGAGGAAGCAACAATACCATCACATACAAGAGGCTTATCAGGTCATTATTACTGTACATGTAAAGCAAGACATTAAATGCAGATATTTGAAATGTTGTTTAATTAACTTTATGATTTATTTCAATATGTTCTCAGATAAAGAAATGGACACTTATGGACAATTTATCTCCCCTTTCCTGACTACTCCTTTTTTCTGTTAATATCTCCTGAACAAAAATATCAATTTTTGGTGCCTGAATTCTAAAATGGCAATCATAAGCCAGAGGTCAATATGTAGGTCACAGGTCACCATCAATATGTATATCTTTCATTCCCATACTTATAACAATGTAAAGTTATGTCTATGATCAATACATAGGTCAAAAAAATTCATAGGTCAAATTAGTCATCAATATTCTATACTTTTCAATTGTACATCTTATTACAATGCAAAGTAATTATACACGAAATGTCAACACATAGGTCACTAAAGGCCAAAGGTCAATCAAGTCATCAATATGAATCAATATGTGATACTACTGAATACCCCTTGATATGGTGCCTCACAGCAAATCCTTGCTGCTAGAGAACAGAGTACAGGCCTGCTGTGCTGACTCTATTTTTAGCAAATGTGTGTGCATATATACAAATATGTTGATGAGGATGATTTCCAAAATAAATTAATTACAACAGATCCCACAGGGATCTTGGTGCCCACCAGTATTTAATCTTTATTTGCTCTTTAAAAGTAGGATCTTCTCCCTTCTTTTTTCTTTCTCTTCTCTGTTTTTGCTCTTAATGAAAAGAAACTTGAACATTCCTTTGCAGAAACAATGATAATAATTTTTAATTGCCAAATGAGACTTTGTCTCAGGTGACCTAATAATGAGTCCCTTCTAATTGGATATTGCTTCTGATCATCACGACATGTTTAATCAAACCCTAACAGAGAGTTCCTCATAAAAATTTAAAACGAAAATATGTGTCAAACTATTCTGGTTGGTCTTTTTTTAGAATGAATGAGTCTTTTTGACTTGAATATCAATTCTGATTTACACAATTTACACAAGATGATCATTATGAAGTATCAAATTGACTATTTACAGGTAGAAAAAATTTCTACCTGTATTCCTTCCTTTGGTGAGCTCTACCAGAATACCCTGAGGGGTATCCATCTTGGATTCCTACACAGGTACACTGACTGACCACTTTTCACAGGACCTTGGATTGTCCAATAACTATATTGGCTTACAAAAACTATCATTTTTTGTGCAATTGACAATTCTTTTTGTACTCAGTGACCTATATGATCAGACCAACATTCCAACTGCGGATAAATCCCTTTTTGGATACTGTATACAAGGAAATTTTTGCCCCTGATGATTTTTTGGTGGACAGGTCGAGTGATTTCAAAACAGGGGTGAAAATTTGTTACATTTAAAAAATAATCCCTTTATAATCCTCAGAGAAGAAAATCAATATGTAGCGAATTCCTGTTTATATAGTACAAGGGAGAAAATATCCTGGGATGTAAGTATATTCAAGTATACCCACTAATTGATAAGTATCATCAACATTGATTGAAATCTAACTAGAGATTCCTTTAAGAAAAAACTGGGTGTTAGGTGATCCAAGTAAGACATCTAAGTAACACATTAGACCTATGATGGGGTAAATAAGAAATGAAGAATTAATCAACTGATCGACTTTTTAAAGGACAACCAGAGATGTTGGAAGAAGAAAGACAACTCTTAATGTAAAGTATTCATATGACGTGATGATTGAACAAACATTATAAAATCAAAGCATAGCTACTTAAAACCAAAGATGTTCGAAGAAGAAAGACAAATCTTAAAGGGATCGAATGGTTCAATTTCGTTGCTTTTTCCCATATGTTTGATTTCAGGTAGATATTGTAATATTTAAAATTAGATTCTTCACTCAATTATAACACTCTCTGAGAGGAATTGATGAAAGATTGTCAGCTTCAAACTAACACTAGTTGACACTTGCTGTTGTGTCTACCACCCATCACTGTTTTGATCGGAGATAGCGGAGTTCATCAAGTGACCTTTTGGAACCTTGTTTTCAGCCACCATTTTGTTATGATTTTGTATATATTTTTTTGTATGATTATGTAATTTGCCAAAACTAAATTTACCGGCAATGTTTCAATTCTTACTTTGTAAAATGACCTCTTGTTTCATGATATATGCATGACAGAGAGAAATAAATGAATTTTAATTAATCTGAATTTAAAATTGAATTCACAAAGACATTGTTTACACTCTCCTAACGAATATACGGGTAATATGAATTAGCTATTTCATTTTAATATTTTTACTTTGTTGATAAAATAGTTATAATTAACTGAAAGTACACAATTTTAACATAAATTCATGCTTTTTGTCAGATATGAAATGAATACTGAACAAGTTAGTCCCTTTAATATAAAACATTCATATGATGTGATTATTAAGAGAACATTATAAAACTAAAGCACAGCACTGTCAGACATCAGTCATCAAAAGTATTTGTATTCTGCCTTACTTGAGAAATGTATCTTGTGATTAATGAGACTACTTATTTATATTAATCACATCTTTTAAGTAAAATGTAAGGATATTCGATGGTGAGTTTCTCCCTCAAATATATAACAGAAACAAATTTTACTAGGGTACCAACCTAATATCTACATCAGTTTTGTGGAGATGAGAGAAATGGTTTCAAAGCTGTAGCCTGGAATGGAAAGTTACCACTAATTTTGTGGGTTTTTTTTTCTAGGTTTCCATAGAAAATCTTTTTTAAAATGAAATGTTGTCAATACCAAAAGGCACAATAAGGACACTAACTTAATATATATAGTAAGTTTTGTAAAGTTGAGTTGAAGAGTTTTGAAGTTATAGCCTGGAAAATCCAATGCACAGACGGACGGAGGTGTGGACAGAGCCCATATTAATTAACCCCACAAACAAGTTTTGCAGGTGATGATTATATTTGTATGGACACAAATAATTAGAGTAATTGATTTTTTACATGTACCATATTAATCACACAATAAATTGATCTTTGGTAATAATAAGCTCCTCTCCTCTGCATTGATGCTTGGTTAAAAACCTACTAATTTTATTGTTCTGTAAACAGCCCATTATCTGAATACAAGTAAAAAGATATGTGTTGGCGCCCTGGGCTTATTGTAAGACAGCGAAATATGTATATCTTTGTATTACTACAATATAGGGTACTTACGTTTCCACTCCTTCCCGACGCACATGATGAAATGGGTTATGGACATATACAGTGCATGACATGATATAATACATATATACATCTGAAAATAGAAAGTTAAAAGAAGTTTAGTATGTACAAGAAGTTTAACAAAACAAGCACATACATATTAACTCAATTCCTTAGCATATCATTTCTTACTGCAAGGTTTTTGTAACTAAAAATAACACCACTGGATAAACTTGAGAAGGAAATCAATATTTCATCAAACTGTCATATTGGAAACATCATAATTAATAGTTCATAGTACACTATCAAGGGTGCCTGGTATATACCTATAACATCTGAATATTAAGTAAATGAATTTCACAGTATATGAAAAATACAAAATACACTACAACAGATGTAAAGTAAAGATATGTATGTATACATATTTATGTACTTATAAAAACGCAAAATTTTCCCTGTTCCTAGCAAACTCAGAGCAAAAGAGTAATTCTCAAAGTGGAATATATAGAAACAGAAGATACTTTAATGTGAGGGCAAATCATTAACCACATAGAAAAAAAGATCACATGCTAAATCAATGTCACATTCTTAACTTAATGAAAACAAGATTTCTAAAGAAATCAATTTAGATCACTACACAGATAATCCTGAGAGGACAAACACTAGCTCCTCAAAACTGAAATACACCCCTCTACTTTTCTATTTTCGTTTGATTAAGTCACTGCCTCAGTGAAATGTTCAATTTTTCTTGGAGTTAGCTCCTTGGATTTTCCCTGTCTTATGCACTAGGCCAAACTGAAGATTTAGTACATGTATAACACTAATAATGTATCACATTAAGAATTATTTTCAATGATGATAACTTACTGTAAAGAGTACAAAAAATTTTTGATTCTTTTCTCCCACACAGTTGTTCACCCAGGGACAGTGGTGGTCCATCTTCCTTATACACCTTTGGCAGACACTTAAAAAAACCACATGATCACAATTAGGAACTAATCCTTAGTTGCATGAAAAATTTTGAAACTAGAAATAAGTAATTAGCCAATTGTAATAAAGACATGTTAAGTAGAATTTATAATCATAAACATAAATTCTATTTTATCCTCCTTGAATAAGCATTGCACAATGAATATGATTATGACAAACTTCAGAGAAATAAAGCACTTTAATCTGAATCACTGATATTGAGAAGATAAGAAGAATTTACTTTGTTACATCAGGGCTTCTTTTCGTTACTTAGATCTCAACAGGTATGATCACATTGGGATAGCCCCCAAATATATGTGAGAAACTGCAGACTTATGAAATTAAAAACAAGAGATTCCAGAGGGATCTTGGCGCCAATTATTGTTTGATCTTTATATATGCTCTTTGAAAGTTGGATCTTTCGCCTTCTTTTCTTTTTTCTTCTCTGTTTTTGCTCTTAATGATAAGACATTTGATCATTCCTTTGCAGAAATAGTGATGATAATGTTCACCCATCAAATCCAAAATGACCGCCTGGAAGCCATTTGATTTGTTCTTATCAGTCCCAAAATCAAACGAGCACAAGGAGAGACAAAAGGGAACACATGTATGAAATTTGAGAGATATCCATTCAGCATTTCTTAAGAAATAGCAATAACAATCTTCACTAAGCTAAATACAAGATGGCCACCTGTCTGCCATTTTGTTTTTCTGATCAGTCCTAAACTCAAACAGGCACAACAAGGGACCTAAAGGAACCTATACATGAAATTTGAGAAAGACCTATAGAGCAGTTCTCAAGAAATAGCGATAACAAACTTACAAAAGTCAAAATCTAAGATGTCTGTCTGTCGACCATTTTGTTTTTCTGATCAGACCCAAAATTAAATGGGCACAACTCGGGACAAAAGAAACCTACATATGAAATTTGAGAAAAAAAAACATACAGTAGTTCTCAAGATATAGCGATAACAAACTTTCAAAGTCAAAATCCAAGATGACCGCCTTTCGACCATTTTGTTTTCTGATCAGTCTCAAGATATCATTGGCAATACTAGAGACCAAAGGGATCCATCACTTACTTTTTAAGAAATAGCGATAACAAACTTGATTGAAAAAATCCAAGATGGCTGTCAGTCGGCCATTTTGTTTTTTCTATCAGTCCCAAAATCAAACAGGCACAACTAGGGACCAAGGGGAACCTACATATGTAATTTGAGAAAAATCCATCAAGGATTTCTCGAGAAAAAGCGATAGCAAAAATTGTTTATTGCCGGACGACAGACGGACAAACAACAGACCACAGATGCAGAGCGATTTGAACAACCCACCATTAATAAAAGCTGAAAATTTGAAACTTTGATCAACAAATTAAAACCAGTACCTGCAGTGGTGAGCTCTCTCAGGTTTGATGCTGACACACTTTGGACATTTAAATATCACTTGTCCATCTTCTAAATGCATTCTCTGTATGTTTTCTTTAGTAGCATTTCCTTTTGGAACAGCGCCCTGAAATACAAAGACCAAAAACGCCCTTATAAAAAACACACCAGATAATGCAAAGCTAACATTATCCACCATGCCCCACTGTTTAAAAGATAGACACACAATCATATATATATATATGTGTGTTAATATTACAACAAGTCTAACTTCTATTTGTTATTTTTAATTTTCCATATAAAGTATTGAAATGGAGAACTTCTACTAGCTTGATGCCTTGAACAGTTTAAGAGAACTAAAAAAACTTAATTTTGTGATTTGGCCTATCTGTTTACATGGTAACAGAACAATCATTTATAGGTAAATGGAGAACTTCCCCATAACAAAATGTTTTGAGTAATTATCTTGAAATGTTTCAGAGCACTGGATCAGAAAAACTGAAATTTGTAATGATGGATTTAGTTTCCATGGTAACAGAATAAAAATATAACTAGCACACTAACATAATATATACAGAAAGTTTTGTGGAGTTGAGTTGAATGGTTTGGAATTTGTAGCCCGGAAAGAAAAGTAAACACAAATTTTGTGTTTTTTGACTATGTTTCCACAGCAACAAAAAAAATATAAAAAAAATTAAATGTTGTTGATAGCAAAAGGCACAACTAGGGAAATAATTTAATATATGTAGCAAGTTTTGTGAAGTTGAGTTGAAAGGTTTTGAAGTTATAGTCTGGAAAATCCCTCGGACACACAGACGCACAAACGGATAGATGCATGCATGCACGCAGCCCAAATTAATATCCCCTACAAACGCATTTGGCAGGGGATAAAAAAAAAACCATACACACCGAAAAAGAAAATACCAAAATAAAATCACATCAAATGCAGTATATGAAGGAAACCTACTAAAATGTCCATTTAGTCCTGAAAAATATTCCATTGGAAAGGTGAAAGAAAAACTTTAGCATAAACTTTTTATAAAAAAGATGTATGCATTAATTATCTTTCATTGTGAGTCATTATCGAAATGTAATAACCTAATTCATTCTCAAACAAATCACACAGTTTACTGTACATATATTACCAGAAATTCTCCTAAAAGTTACTGCATTAATTAATATTGCCAAATGTTATACTTACAGGGTCTGACAACATCGTCCGAAGGTGTGAGGCAACAGCTAAGAAGGCAAAGAATTGAAATATAATTCCATTGATAAGGCTCCACTCTGTGTTGGGATTATACCACAGCATGACAAAAAACACAACATATTCAGCATACAGGACCAGAAGCCATGTAATAACAGCACAGACCCAACCACAGATGTCCCTGACACACCACGCACGTTTACAGGTGAAAAGCCATGCAAGACCAAACCGTTTACATATTGGTCCACAGTCAACTATTGTAACACCATCCTCTACTGGGCCCTTGTGTTTGGATTTGAGTGTCTTTATAACTGGTCCTTTAGGACGCTCCTGTTCTTCTCGATTCTCCCTGAAACATAATTTCAAGCTATCAATCAAAACATATATTTGTCATACTATGTCCCATGTCATGCTTATTCTGATAATTGCAATTAAGACATTTTACCACGTTAACCATCACATAAACATATAACTTGATAATAGAGTATTACATGTATATACTCTGTCAATTCATGATGACACCCAGACTTTTGATTTTGAAGAAGGTTTGAACAATTGCTTCATTTTCATGTTGATTCCAATCCAGATGGTTACATATGTATCATAAAAGCGAAGCTCTATACCAGTAACATGTGTGAGACATTTCATCTGCAATTGAAAAACTGTTCTGGAGTGGAAAGGCATAGAGAATAGGCGCTCCACAGTACCAGAGACTAATATTAATGTAAAATACTAAGGTAGCCCTTCAGCTTTCCTGAATTTGATTGAATTATGCTTAATTTTTACTTAACATAAAAATGATTTTACAGAAATGAAATTGGCATGAATTAAAATTTCTTTATTCCTCCAGGTACCCATCTCATTTTGCATTGCACTGAACGTGTCAGCTACGATCCGTGTCGGAAGTTGTTGCCTGTTAAAGTAAACATCGAATGGGTGAAAATAGAATATCGTGACAAGAAATCTACCAATCGGTCCCAATTTTACGTAAATAATGTATGCGTACATGTTTCTGGAATGCATTTCGTCCATCATCTGAGATTCAATGTCTCATATTTCAGCTAGACATCACGATGTGCAGTTTACTTGGATACCCAGAATGAAATTGTCAATGCCGATCTCGTCTGTGTGTAAATAATGCTTTTAAATGAAGTATTACGCAATGTGTAAGTCGTCAATGCAAATCACTTGAGTGACCCAGATGAAATAATATTGCTCATGTTTTGATGACGTTTACAACAAATCCTCCATAATGAGGGTAAACCACACTTCCGGTTTAGTTTCACGTGTTTCGCAAAGTACAAACAGAAGATGGTCGATGTTCAACTTAGTGACGCAGAGAAAGTATTCATTTTACACGGTGTCCAGGTATGTAAATAATGCATTATAACATGATCAAGTTACGACAGCTCTCTTCATCGAACGAACATTTTCACTTACTTATAGCTTAGTTCGGCTGTATTTTAAGAGAGTGGATCTCGTATCGTCTTCTGTAGTGACTTGTTAGCTTATATGTCAAAAATCGTGAGGGTAATTTCAACAACAAGTAATTTTGCTTTATTTTTGAATAATTCGCGATTCCCGGTCCTACTTCCTCCTCTGTTTATTTACCGAAATGAAGAAAAATGGGGCTTAAACTGAATGATGTTAAAGAGAATGGGCCAGGCATGGCCTTGTTTAATGACTTGTAGGTTTATATGTCAAAAATCATGTTCAGTTTCAAAAGAAATATTTCTATTCAAGTTTTTTTTTAAAAAATGCGATTCACGGCCAGGCCTTTGTAGGAACTCGTTCATACATACAGCTATAGGTCAAAGGTTGAGCACATGAATGCAGGTACTGTTTTTGTACTGAAAATGTTTAAGATCAGTGGCGAGCATTTTTTAGTTTCAACTGTTGAACAACAGCACCCACAAAATAGATTTTATGGTTTGCTTGAATGGCCCACTGATACCGAGGTCAAGTGGCTGCGAGCAATCAGTTTAACTTAATGCGAAAAACGCTATGTGAATGTTGTATTTTTTTCAAAACGTTAAGAAGATCTTGTCCCCTTCCCACCAATGCACTTTGTAATATCAAACACACATTCCACATAAGGGACTATTACATTGATGATTAGAAAAAAAGAGAGTATAACTTATTTTGAACACCAGCACTGTCTTATTGAAATTCTTCAAACTTGTAGTACATGTGTCCAACATTGATGAAATTAGCATGGAAGTGTCACATATAAACGGTCTCCAAACACGGCAATGTATGTATTTCATGTGGGATTCAAAATTTTCAGTATTTTGTAGTTTTAAGAACTTTGAATACTTCTAACACCATAATGTCCCTTTAAGGGAAAATGCACATACCTAATCATCAACTCAACTGTAGACCAATGCAATTAGTGATATCTTAATCCTCCAGAAACTTGTATGTCAGATGACATCAGTCTTACCCTGATAAATGTATTGAGGTTGTATCATCTTCCCACATTTCATACATCACAGCAAAATTGTTAATTGCTGCTTATCATTAAGATGGGTATGGTTACCTGCTTTGACCCCTTTACATCCATAGTCTAGTCATGGACTGGTACAAAGTTAGACCCAGTCTGGTTCTGATTGATTAGCAGTTTGTCTGGAGTATGATACTTTGTTTTAATGTGTTCAAAGTTCACTGGTAAGGTTTTTAGACCTGTTGCCCCTTTCTGTTTTCACATGTTCAGTCTACAGAGTATGGAAATAGCCAAAGGTTTGTCCAAGCTCTTAGGGATTGTGGCATTCCAACAGTTTCATCTTTTAAACATTCCCTGTCTCTTGTTCAGTTTTTCAAAAGATTTTATTTTTCATTCCTCAGACTGTACTTTTATTTAAAGGATTTGCCAACACTTTATTAAAATGTGTAGCTACTGCTGTAACTCCAATTTTTAAATCATGTAGTGGGTTATTTTAACCTTGACCTCTGGGTTATGACCGTTTTGTTTTCTGTTTTTCCCTCTGCTGTCAGGTGACATATTTTGTAACTCATATTTAACATGTTTGTCGACTATTTCTGCTAAAGGACATGTTGGAACCAGGAAATTATCTTTGGAAACCTTTATGAAGAAAGTATGTTTCTGCGGTGTCATCATGTTAGTGAATGATCAACACAACCTATGTATTTTTGAGAAACCTGTACTCGGGTAATATAGTTCATGAACATAGCATGTATGACAAGACTGAATCACATGGCATATCAGGTATAGGCATTTTCATAAACAGAAATAAAGATCAATAAGAAGATATTTGTAACCAATATAGGAGTCTTGCAGAGTCCATGGCCCATCATTCGCAAAATTAAAATCATCCCAGCATCAGTATTCACAAAATGATGTATTCAGAAATATGTCAAAAGAGACATAAGTTTGTGCAAAAAGTATTCATGAAATCTATTTGATTTACAATAACAAGTTGTTGATCCTTGTGGGCAGAAGGGCAGGTCACAGAATGTAACAGCTTCATCAACTTGGTTTAAATCTGAGCAGATACCTCCAGGCATACATGAAAACAAGCAGATTGTTATGAACATGTTTATTATAAGTATTGATTTTGTGTTTCAGGATAACTGTCGTGAAGATGGCAGAGGGTGTGAAGACTACAGGCATTTAGAAATTGAGACAAGTGTCATGTCAAATACTAATGGATCAGCACGAGTCAGATTGGTAATAAAAGATGTTTCATTTATCAATAAAACTTGAAAAAAAGTTGTTAAAATTAAAGGTGAATGAGGAAGGCTTCATGATGATTTCTTTTATCAGAATCACAATCCTTAATGATGAGGAACCAATTTGTTTTATTTCCTACAAAATATTAAATTTTGACATTGAAACAAGGAAAAATCTAGACTTAGGTATCTTAACATAGTTGTCTAGATGATTGGTTGGAAGAGAACATCTAAGTCACAACCACATCCGAACAATGCATGCAATTTCACTCTACTTGGATGAATGCTTGGTTGAACACCTAGACATGCTAGTTATAGATTATATGGATGCTTGTGAAGTTTAGGAATCCAATATAAAGGAGGAAGGTCTGTATCCTTATTAATCTTCATAACTGGTTATCAAACATATTTACCATTAATTTTTGTTTTAGGTTATCCACTTGAAATGAAAATAGTCTAAACTATGGTTATGAGGCAGATATTTGAAGTTAACTGAATCAAATTAGGATCAGGTGAATTATCATTATAGAACCAACAAATGTATGTATCCAATTTAGAGCTGACCAGTACATAGTCTGGCAAAGATCCATTTATTATTATCTTCCATACATTGTTTTCAGTCACAATATTTTGCTTTCAAACATGTACTCTTAAGTATATGTTCTGATTGTAGGCAAACACAGATATCTTAGTTGGAGTAAAAGCAGAATTAGGAACTCCATCTCCTGAGAAACTAGATAAAGGACGGATAGAGTTTTTTGTGGACTGGTAAGTGTTCATAAACAGCAATTTTTATTTGTCATGTTAATTTTAAGTACTCCTGCCTTATAATGCCTTTCAGAAAAGTCAACAGTTAAAATGTAATTTTTGTAATTATCAAGTAACAATATTGTGCCACAATTTCACCTAAAAGAGAATGATTTATTTTTTTTAAATCATTTACAAATTCTACAATTTTACTAGAGTGGACTATTATAGCACTTGTCAAAGGTATGTTAAGTCCATATTCATACACTTAATAATAAAGAAAAACAGAAGATAAATATCAGTGTTTTTTAAGTTAAATATAAGAATTCTTTCTGTTTTCAGCTCAGCTAATGCTACTCCTGAGTTTGAGGGTAGGGGAGGAGAGGACTTAGCTACAGAGATCAGTAACATGCTGTATCGTGCCTACGATTGTCCCAACTGTTTTGATCTTAAACAGCTCTGTGTCATCCCAGAACAACAATGCTGGATACTCTTTGTTGATGTCTTGGTATGTTGTATATAATTTCTATTTATCTTTCTAGGACCATGATGTTTGGATTTTCAGAAACAGAGGATGTCTTCATAAATACAACAAATTATTTAAAATGATAATATGACAATACCGGGGGAAAATGTTTCATTTTAGAGATTCACAAACAAACTCTTGATCTGCTTTACACACACAGTTTCAGTCTTCATATAAATTGTTTGCCATGTGAGGAATTCATTCATAAATATTTAGTCCCAACTCTATTAAAAGATTCTGAGAAAAAAGGTTCATTTGTGATATTTTAGAAAAACAGATTACAGCAGATAGGACTATTGTATAAGGTGAAATTTCATCAATAGTAATATTGGGCAGTTTGGACCTAAAAACTAAAAAGATCAGTTTTGAATACTTGTCTTTTACAATAATTGTAGAAATGCTAACCATCCATGTATGATATCTCTGTGATAAGCCCACCTCTGTTCTAATAGACCCAGGTCACCTTTTTTTTTTTAATTTTTGTTCACCGTTATTTTTCAGCTGCTTGAATGTGGTGGTAACCTCTTTGATGCTACATCACTGGCTGTAAAAGCGGCATTATTTAATACAAGGTACTGTAACACATGGTTTATGTCTGTAAAATCATGTATTTTTGTGAGGCTGATTTTCATGGATTTTCATAAGTATTTTATGGACACATTATTTTTATGGATAAATATTTCATATTTAAAATATGTGCAACTCATTTCATTACCCCATGAAATTGAAAAAAGCAATATTCAGTGCTTGAATATAGATCAATAAATCTATTTATACCTGAATTTTAACAGTTTGTGTACATATAATTGCATGTTTTGAGAGTACCCATTAAATCAACAAAAATAATACCCCTAGAAAAAGTAGTGATTTTACAGTATATATCTTGTCATTAGTGACATTCAGATTTCTCATTTTTGTACCATTTAGACAAATTAACAGGAAAGAATCAATTTATTTGTGTTTTTTGGGCCTGTGCTAATTAAAGATGTAATTTGACAATTGAAGTTCCAAACATTAGATGTCTTGATGCATACTTGGATGTTACTTTAATGTCTTTCTCTCTACTGTTAAAATGAAATTGTCTGGTGTATTGATATAGAAATTTTAATCTCGTAGCTAATACAGTACAGTGTCCTTTATAATTTTGTGATGAAATGAAAGCACCTAGCTCTATTACACTGAAGTCAGTTTGTTAGTCACAGATGTCATGATCCGTTATTATTTAATTTTATGGTTATTGATTAAAATTGTGTCTGATTATGATTTTCATGGTTGCAGTGTTTGCATTTGAAATTGTCACAGATAAAAGGAAAATATGGTAGTATACACCAGGGTAGCACTGCTCACTTTGTTACAGTGTTATATCAATAATGGTGTCTACTACATGTTGTTTTCTTCAATACACATAATAATATTCAAGATTGACTAATTGTTATCATGTTGCTTTTACCAGTATACCAACAGTGACTGTAACTAGAGATGAGGGGGTGGTAGACCTGGAAATCTCAGATGACCCTTACGATGTACAACGACTAGATATGAAGTCCTCGCCCTGCATTGTAACTCTTAGTAAGGTATGATTATTTCCTGTGTTTTTAACCTTGGAGTGTCCAGGTGATGTAGAAGGGTGAAGGACTAATCCCTCACTGCACTAAGGGACTGTGACAAAATTAATTCTCATACCATGAAACCCAAACACTTGGTGGAAGCTGAAATTATCTGTGAATTAAAGGATGTGATTTGTATTTCCAGGTTGGCCATTCACATGTCGTTGATGCAAGTCAGAAAGAGGAGTGCTGTACTTTAGCCAGGTATAAAAAGATAATGTTTTTCAATCCTGCATAACAAGCAATTAGCATTTAAAATACTAATTTAACATTTTTAAACACTCTTGAAAATATATATCATATATCAAAGTTTTATTGTTTAAAACACATTCATGGAAGTATACCAAGGAATAAAAGCATTTTTGGAAAAAAAGTTTTTTTAATGAAAATTTAAACGTTTTAACAGAATAATTATATATAGAATTTGATGTCTGGCCATTGTGTTTTGCTGTAGACTTATTATGGGAGTGACAGAAAAAGGGACAATTACGGCACTCAAGAAAGAGGGTTCAGGCAGTTTAGACCCCACCAGTGTTGAAGATATGATGGAGGTAAGTAATAGGAAGAAGGTTGATAATCATTGATTAATCTGAATGTTGAGGAACTTTTAAAAAAAATTATTTTTCTTGCCAAAAGAGCATAATGAGTTGATTGCAATTCTCTTGATCTATTTTAGTACCAAAGTTTTCTGATATATTTTGACTTAGGTGTTGCCATTAGTCAGAATGATTTGGGGAAATAAGGAAATAACCCTTCCATAATGAAGAATAATCATTAGTAAAAAAGATGTATTTTCATATGCTTTTTTTATTTCCATGCAGACTGGTAGACGAGTTGGAGAATCTCTAAACAGATGTTTGATGGAAGCTTTGGTGGAGGAAGAAAGACAGGGTACCAAGAAAAAGACATCAGGATTCCTGAGATAGTGTACTGATTAATATACCAGCAATGGATGAACATGTCAAATATTTTCAATAGACTGCTCTACTAAAACCATTCATTACAGTTTTCATGTTGATCCAGCGTTGAAAAGTTCCATTTAGGATTGGTGGTTTTGAATGAGTTTTACATTTGTTTTATAAAAACACGTGGGTCATCGTGATCACTCGCAACTGGTTTCCCATCAGACCCCTCTTTACCCCGCAAGGCTACAGGTTCGAGCATTACCAATCCCCCTTGTGTAAGCGAATCTCAAAGAGTGCTAGGTAGTGCTGCGATACCCTTCAGGTCTTCCCATGTCAATGCAAGTCTGCAAGGTGTAGAATGCTATCAGACAGAGAGCGTCTGTTCTCTAGTATGATTACTCACAAACTACCTAGAACAATGAACGGTGCCCTCGCACAAAGCCTTCAGGATGAGTCGACATAAACTATGTGCACTGCTAATAGTAAAATTCATCCACAATGTAGGGAAGACCTGGGCAATAAAGACACGCCAGTATTGTCTACAAGGACGCTGATGAAGTGATATATAAAACGGCTATGTTCCTGCTGACACCGTCAGCCATGGACTAAGCATAATGCAGCATAATTTATCAATGACTGACTCTGGTCTAAGCCTTTCAGTATTTTGCAGCACTCCATCCTAACCGGTGTCCTGCACACCATGTTCACAACAGATGTATCTATTCTGTACACTTAAGCCAAAATGTTCTTTTGGCTACATGTTTGAAATGAAGTGTATCTGAAAAAACTATTGTAATTATCTTGTACATAATTTGAATATGTATGGATCAAGTTTTTATTCTGTTTTAAGACTGCATTGGTTTTTCTTGAAAAGATACAAATGATATATTCTGGTGCAGCAAGAGATCTTTTGCCAACTATCATAGTGAATTTGTGATATAAGCTCTTCATAGATGAATCTTTTCGTTGTCATATCTAGCTCCTTTTGGCAGACATCATTGCTTTTTGATCATGGATCACATTTGATTTCATTGCTTTTGAAAAGTCTTACCTGAAAACCTAACAATAAATGAAAGTTGACACACTCATTTGAATATTTTCAATTTTAGCCAGAGAACCTGATCTCCTTGCACCACAGCACCTCTAGTCTTTCTGTTGTTGTTTTATCTTTTCCACTTTATTTGGACCTTCTTTGTGGATTCTGAGGCTGCTCTATCAGCTTCATTAAAAACATCCAATGTTGAGGTACTCTGTAGTACACTATGAACTATTGTCTTAGAAGTCATGTTCTTGGTCAGGATAGTGAGGAGTACAGTGCTTGGTGAAATGATTCATTGTAATCAAGATGTGCTGGTATCCCCTCTTATATGTTTTGAGGGTGATGAAATCAACACAAACCAACTTGAGTGGCTGCCTGTTCTTTATGTTCACTAATGGTGATACCTAATTGAAGTGGACTTTATTCCTTAGACACTTTCAACACTTGTTCACATACTTATTTATGTCCTGCTACATGCCAGACCAAAACATCCTAAAGGAGATGATCTGGTCCCAAGCAGGATGTCCCATTGCATCATGTAGTACTTGAGGTACCTCCAACTGCAGCCTCCATAGAATTATGAGCCTATAAGAAGGTCATCTCCGACAGCCTCCCTATATAATATGCTTCCCCTCAGTTTCAGCCTCTCAAATGACTTGTGTAACATCTGACCTTAAAAATCTTTTCCCCTGGGTTTCACTTTGGCTTGTGCATGTTTGACCAATGCTCTTATGACAAGGTCATTAACTTGTGTGTCTTCCTTGGATGGACATAATTCTTGCTGTGGAATTTCGGTAGTAGATGGATAAAGATTTTATGATGCACAGTTCCAATATATTGTCATATTTCACACTGATTCAATTGTCATTTTAACAATACAACCAGATCGCGTTATGCGTTGGTCAAAGCCACCTAGATTTTGGAGAAGCGACTGACGTCACCTTTACTACTGGAGTTAGCAAACGGTGTGGAGTGGTGGTTGGGCAGTTTTGGGCTCTGCATTCATGGAGTAGATCTGAAAGTTAGCTCAGAGCCTGAGGGAAATTATTTAGTGAGTGAGGAGTCAGGAGAGTCAAGAGTGTAAGAAGCATTGTGAATTTAGTTTTCTTTCTGGTCTTCAGCAGGTGACATTGATGATGTCTACCGCAATCTATATTATCCTCAATAATATCATTTAAACGAGTTGTGCAATAAAACACCTTGTTATCCTTCACTTCAAAAGCCTTCCTTTGCTGAGAACTCTCACTTACTGCCCTGGGCTTTTGAGACTTATTCAGTGTGTCAATCATTACACCTCTAAGATGATCTGGTACTTATAAAGATGCCTTTGGAATCTCCACTTCCTCAAACTCCACCCGAATATTATATTCATCTTGGGGAGATTATCTAATTCCTCATGGCCCATAAAATCAGATTTCTTATTAGGAATCCTGTGACACTATTTCAACCAATCAGGAAATATGGAGATTTATTTTATATAATACATGTAATGTGATACAGATATGAGGCATGTGTTTTAGTGGTTAATTTTAATAAGTAGTATGTGAAAACATCAGGTGAGCAAATCAAGTTTGCAAAGATCCAAGGTTATTGGAAATATTTTCAAAGATTTGACAACCAGTGTAATCATTTCTGGCTTGTTTCTTCATATAAGCATATGACTAACTTGTTAAAATTTTAAGATAGTGTTTTTGAACTCAGTGTAGGTTTGGGTTCAAATGTTATAGTCTGTAGCCTATTGCTTGTGTACAATTTTAATCAGAACTTTGAATCAGGGAGGAATTGTGTTAAATTGTTCAAACAAACATCATTTTCTCTCTATACTTGCCAATTTTTGGAATGTTCTAGAGGAAGATGCTGCCAATGGCAACAGTTCTGAAGTTTAAGTTAAAACATTTGAAGACATACAAAATGTACATTGGTCATAATGCTTTTCTTTCTAATTGATAAATTTAGATTTTTTTGTTGTTGTTTTTTTTGTTTGTTTTTTTTTTTTTGTTGGGCATTTTTTTTTTTTTTTTTTTTTTTTTTTGTGGGGAGGGGGGATGGTTAACCAATCACTGATCTGTATAATTTGTTATTTGGGAATGGAAATAAGAAATAAGAGGACCATGCTATATTGTTTCATGTTACTGGTACCAATTTTCTAAATACAGCAAATACATCTTGTTTTTATATGTTGTTACAATAAACATGGTATATATCACCTCTGTCGTTGCCTTACTTTAAATACGTTTACACAAGGTCTCAAGAAGTTGCTTTCGTTTTACTTCCACGATGTTGTAGTCTTAATATATATGAAGTTATTCTGAAGCATACAAACATATCAGGACAGGTAACTTTACAGAAACATTTACAACACCTTAAATGAACAATTTATCCAAGTAAAGAATTTTCCATTAACCAAATACAAACAAATATAACTACAAACGAAGGTAGTGTGACATGAAACAAGATATTTACCCTCCCGGAAAACCAGGTTTTATTTGCATACCTTTTCAAGGTCCCTCGTGTAAATTTTTATTTTGTTCATATTTGCCCCCGAATTTGAGTTTGAATTAAGATTCTGTTGACAAATCGGTATTTTCTCTGTCATTTTGACATTTCAAAATGTTCACAGATAGTCGTGTATAAACCATTTCATGGGAAATTTCGAGCTATAACAACTGTCCAGTTTATTTTCACTTTAACGGTATGTAGGCTTTTGTTATCCCTACGTGTCTCCTGCTGTCATATATTGACAATACTACTAAAACATATAGAACACTTGATACATCTCTATCTTTATCGAAATTTGGAACATGAGGAAGGTAGTAGCAGAGCAATGTCTATCTGCCGACCTATTAGCCTTGTCTGCCAACACACAATAATAAATATAAAGAATGTATTGAATCTTGAAAACGTGTTCCATAGATTGGAGCAGTGGTTTCATATGCTGGAGTAATCTAAAAGGAAAAGTTCATAGGTAGGAAAATGTTCAAAAAAAAAAAAAAAAGAAGAAGAAGAAGAAGAAAACACCAACATGTCAACGTTATTATAATCCAAACTCAAATTCCATTTATGCATAAAACTCGGTACAAAATATGAATAAAACAAATATTTACACGGAGATCCCTGAATAGTACAAGGAAAATAAGCCCAGGTGTTCCGGAAGAGTAAGTTTTTTTCATGTTTTATCCTACCTTCCTCGAATTTGTGTTAGAATTATGATTCCGTAAACGTGTTGGTCCACGAAAAACTTCATGAATGAGCAACAAGAAATGCACATACATACAAATTTTACACCACGAGATGCAGGAGGGACATTGATATTAGAAAATGTCTGCAAAGACTAAAAAAACCAGTTAGTGGCACTATTAATACAAGTTTAGAATTACAGTAAAAGCCACAATGTGGAATAAACTACATCAAACAAGTGTTTCGTCTTTCTTGAAATCGTCAGTACCTAGAAGACGAAAACTTTATTAAAACTGGTCGAAATAAATGACAAAAACCAGATGAGTTGTTGCACTTACCTCAGAATTCAATAATTCCATTTTATTCTAATTGAAAATTGAAAAAGATCATCAACTACACATGCATATACTGAACCGAAAGTCTTCCTTATCTCAAGACAACATGGATGCTTATATCAAATAGGGAATGAAACCACATGTTCTGTTAGAGCGTTTGTATTATGCTGGACGACCAGGCGTCACAAGAATGTTTGTGACTTTAAGTATCAGCGATAACGGGGTTACTCAGTACGTCCTAGACTCCAGCTATAATGTTCAGCACGCTAATGGAAGAAGCGCACGATTTCAAAACACAAACTGTCCATTTTACCCTACAAGTATATCTTACAAGTGAAATACGCGGGAAAGACATCTGTATGTGATGAGTTGTGAAAGATGACTTTCTTTCATGAATTGTGAAGTTTCCTAACTCGTCGGGAACGTAATATCGTATTATATTAAGTCAAAAGTGGTACCAAAGTTGCTTACCTCCTTGCTTGTGTGGGGACGGAATTCCCAAAAAAGACTTGACGTGAAGGTCTGGTCATTTTTGTTTATCGGATGTGAGTTCAAGGTATCTAGGGGGGCAGATGTTAGCAGTATAAGGTGTTTAGTAAGAAGTAAGGTTAAACGTTTTACATAGCTAGACAACAGATGCAGCTCACTAGTAGGGTGTAGTTCATCAGGAGACGACTTCTTCACCAGAATCACCTGATCCTCGGTCCACATACGCTATAGTCTTCTACACCACATTGAGTCTTCATTCTGTCCAATTTAGAACACTTTTAAAAACAAAACTCTGCTTGGATGTCAGTGTTATACTTGACTCCTATTTGCCCAGTATATGGCTTCCTACTAGCAGCAATCTGGATTGAACTTCATTTCTAGTCCTTATCAATGGTTGTTTATCCTTGATTTGAATGCAACCACTGTTGTTGCACTAGTCACTTCACTCGTTCAACGGTTCCAGTCTCTTATCACTCTTAATCCGAATGGGTGCCTTCTACACCCTATTCCGGAGTGTTTCTGCTGGAGTTTGCAGTTATGCCCCTTGTTCTCTTGCTTTTAGAAATGTCCAACATTCCTTGACCTTTTCTTCAATTCCATACAGGATTTTATAGACTGAGATGACATTGGACCTCTTTCTACTATAATGTAAGGTAGGAAGTCGGATTGATAGTAGCCTGTTGATATGGTACGTCCTCTAATGTCTTTCTATAACAGTGGATTCCAGCTTGCTCTGAATGTGATCTAATGAAGGCTTTATACATGTAGTGTAATATTCTTTGTCCGTGTATATGAATTACCTCTTCGATAGCCCTGCCTGTCCGTTCGCCCTTTTTTACACTGCTTGCTGGTATTTTATTGGTGTTACTTGTTACATATATGCTGGACTTCAAATCAGTGTCAAAGGTGACTCCTATATAATTTTCCTGATCTCCTTGTATTTTCCTCACCACCATAATATACCTATGTCTTTCCTTGTTGAGTCTTAAGTGCAAAACTTTACATTTCCCTGAATTAAATTATAGCTGCAACTTTTTAGACCAATCTTTTAGGGTTGTCCAAGTTAGTCTGGAGTTGTCCTATGCTGTTGTTCCATATATATTTTTATTATCTGCAAACAACTTTTTGGAGGATTTGATAAGTTTTGGTAGGTCATTGAAGCATTTTCTCTCTATCCTTATTATGTGCTCGCAAGTTGGCCAATCCCTAGTGCATTTGTTAGCCACATGGTAGGATCGGCTAGTTGATGCCATTTAAAAAGAAATAATAACTGTTTTGGAAATCCTTATAGTGAACGATTGCCGAATTCTTGTTAATGACACAGCTAGGAATTAAAGCATTCCCACGTGAAGTTGTTCGCACGGACAGCCATGAATGATTCGGAATGCCATATGATGGTTTCCCAGAAAAATCAAAGACAATGCTCTTGTATAAAAGTTTCAAATATTCCACAAGAGGCTGTTCCCAAATATCTGAATCGGTGGTCACTGGTATTGCCAAGATAACGTTTATTGAATGTCACAGATAAAGAACATGCTAGGTACCTTGCATGTCATGTGCTGATATAGAATTATAAACACTTAAAAGTGACAGAGCAAGGCAGCAATTGGTGTGATTACAAATTTGTGGTGTATATTAAAACGGTTAAAATTGGGAAACATAAGCATGTAGAGAGAAAACAAAGCATGCTCATGCTAGTTGATGTTCGTGACTTCCAGCAAATGACATATGTGGCGTTGTAAATATTATCCGGATGTAGTCATTCCGTTCACCGTACAAAGATTTAGAAACGACGAAAAATGACAGGTTGGAGCAAAGATTCGAAACTCTGATGTCAACACGCCGAGCTTGCGAACATGTCATTTCCCGACATACACACTTGCATTAAGGTAGGACTAATTGTGCGCGTGTGTGACACGTGAGTTGTACCTATAGTGCAATCATTTATATATTTATGCTACACGCACGCATTCTGAAAACATTTAACATCGTTACCACATGGCCGTCTGCAGTACAGAATAGGTAGTCCGACCATCAGTATCAATGTATACGTACTGTCCATCTCTCACAGGGAGGGTCGGCATAGCTTTACCTGTCTCAGTGGTCCGGGAATCACATTTCACATAAATATATACATAGATGCGTAACCTTATCCTTGTCAATGGGAAATGGTCGCCTGAACAAACGTTTATCTGTTTTGGTAGAACATATACAGACCAGATTGGTCCACCATGCATGCTACGCGTGTAAAAAAAATGAAGGTGTAATGGAAAACACACTGCCACCGCTGGGGTTCGATGCCTTGGTCTATTCCCAATAGTTGATGCTAGTCATTACAATGTATTTTAAGAAGACTAGTACATGTACTTTCAACTTGTACACATGTTACATGTTAGCTGTAAAAACATACTTGATGATACATGTATCAATATTAATGTGAGTAAACAAAACTGCATCATAGCCATATTTACAATCGTAGATTGATCCCATCACAAGTAAAAATTTTGTTGCTGTAAAAAGATGACATTTTCATTATACACATTTTTGTAACATTACTAATTATAAACAATTATGGTATGTTCTTGCATTCGAAACACATTGTATTTGCATTTTTGTTGTTTTTTTTCCCCGTATTTTTTGTGTTTGTCTACAACAGGTACTGCACACAGTTTGTATGTTGGGGTCAGTTACATTTATAAGACATAACACAGTAAATATGTAGTCAATGCTGACATAAGGAAGATTAATTATGAGAGTGCCAAATACCTGTGGATATGACCAGATGTAAAGTAGCAATCTAAAATAAAAAAGAAATTTACAATTTTAGCTGACTGCTGAAAATGAAGACCTTAGAAAGAAGTTACTTCGTGTGAAACAGCAGCGTGATGCTTACCACTCAGAGTTAACGTCCCTGAAGGAAAAAGCTAAAGTGGACGCAATACTGAAGACATATGTTACAACAAGAGAGTAAGAACTCAATCACTGGCTAATTCATTATTGTGTTAAAATAAGCATGTATTGATATATGTGAGAGTCTGGTTAGGGTACAACTCTTTACCAAATTGACAACATTGTCATGTTACAAGGATAGCATTTGTTGGTATTTCTACAGAATCAGTAATAAATGTACACAAATTGTACATAGATCAGCTTATTATCAAGCATGGACTTTATAAGCAAGTGAATTGTAATAGATATTTGAATCTCCAATCCTCCTTGTCTTTTTACACTGTTTTCCTTACTGTTGGAATGGGTAGAAATGAGTGACAGACTACTATTGTTGTGTATATTGACACTTTTTATAGTCTCCTTCAAACACACAACAGTGACACATGAGAACACTAACTAGTTTCTCACAACCACACGGATGACAATCAGATATATCAAAATAAAATTTAAGTTTGAGTATTTCCCTCTTACAGGTCCTGCACACAGACTGATCCAAGTAGAGTTTGGCATCCTGTTGCTCCAAAGAAAAATGAGGATACTATTGCCAACAGGATCACAGAAGGGGACAAGACAAACAGGTTGGGTCATTTAAACATTAAAAGGTCTTGCTTTATCATCTGTGATTTTTATAAATGATAGATAAATGACAGCCTTGATAACATATGGGATGCCAAATTTTTAAACTTCTGACCCCATGTCCTTTGACCCCTTGTGACACTGCAATTAGATAATGAAACAATGTCACACAAAGTCACTCACATATTACAGTATGACATCACAACTGAGACCATAGATATATGGTTAAAACTTTGAGTTTGACATGGAAAAGAATGCTTTCTGAAATACAATAATGATAATGAAATGGAAACTTATGTGAGGTTTTCACATCTTTCATGAATTTCTAGAGAATCTTTTGTATTGCTATCTTATGTTTTTACATGTAGGTTGATGTCCATGCATAGTAATGTTATGAGAAGATATGAGAAGGAAGTGAAACATAACTTAAGTCACTTAGAGACAATCACAGAACTACAGGTAAACTTTCCTAATGAACATCAGTTTGAATAGTTTCTGTTTGTTGGTTTATTGCTGGGTGTATTGCCACATGTCCAGTCAGGGTCATTTTGATGGGGAGGGTCTCTTTGTAGTAGCTGTAGGCTGACTCACAGAACAACATATAGAAGGCCCATCACATGTAATCCAGATGAATTTTTTTATAATACCTTGTCCAAGGGCACAATAATGATAGCAAATTTAGGTGATCTATTTGGAGAATAGCTCATTCACATTCAATTATTGATTATTAAAAACTAGCTCTTAAATCATCTAGTGTATGCTGGAAAAAATAAAATCCATTTAGGTTTGTCTAAATAAGTTGCAACTCTTGAGTATAAGCAGATCTTTTTAATTCTTCAAATCACAAAGTCAGTGTTTAGAGTGCTGTATGTTATCATTTCTGTAATACATTTGTTAAAGTGAATAACATATCTACCTTTAAAAGAGACAATAAAAAATTTTATATTGTATTAATAATAATTTGTGTACTAAGCAGAGATAACTACACATTTACTCAAGGAAAATTTAAACTGAAAAAAAAAAAAGTTTAAAAAGTTTTCTTTGTTTCTGAGCAATATATTTTCTTTATTTTAGATGAAGATATCTACCTTAGAGACTAGATTACAAAAAGAAAGGGAAAATGTGCAGCAAATGGAGAAAGAGATACACACATTGAAAGTTTCAAAGGCTACAGCGAAGATAAAAGCGGGAAACGTAGGCAAGCAGGGAAAGGAACTCTTCTCTGATGAAGGTACTTTATGACTTATAGAATACTTTTAGTCTGACTTGCATTTGATTATAAAATTGAACAAAAGAGATATATACTTATCCTGTATGAATTGATTTTTGTAGAATTTTTGATTCATCATTGAAATTATTTGCTGAACTGCTTAAATTCCTTTTTGCTTTATAGATGATTCACAGGACAGACATATATTCAGAGAGTGTAGAAAACTTCGCAAGGAAAACAAAAAATTAAAAGAGGAGTTGAAAGGCCTAGACTTAGTAAGTATATTATTCCAGAATGGAAAAACTTTTGCACACTGAAAAATGCCTTTAGTTTTCAAAATTTTGTATATCTGAAGAGCTCCATTTGATTTAACTTTGAGACTTTAAGATATGAATAGTGATTACCAGTAAAACTTTGAAATCACTGAGTGGCATTGTTAAAGAAAGCAGCTCAACGTTTCAGGTATGTCATTCACTTAGCGCTGTATGGCTAATTGTCAATTGCATAGGATATAAAAATGTTTTTGAAAAAAGCTTTCACTTGAGACAAAAGCATCAGATTTTTACTTAATTTTGGCTGCATCACTTCACAATTATGCTGACTTTTGTAATTACCGCAGTAAATTTTTTTTCAACTTCATGTATTTGAATTGTATATTTGAATCGTGAAAAAAATTTTAAAAAATAATCGTATATTTGAATCTTGAAAAAGGCATAAATTACCTAAATATTTACAGTTCACACTTTTTATGTTGTATGATTTAAGTAGTAATGTAGAAATTCATAAGGAAGCTTTACATTGTATGTAACATAGCATAAAATGCCTGATAGAGTTTTGATGAAAGAAAATGTCTTTTATATGCAACACCAACTGGGCATGCAATAAACCATTATGTAAGCTTTGATAGGAATATTTTTTTAGTTTTATGCTTGTATGATTTTTCTTTTATATCAGCGTGAGACTAAAAGGTATTCCTATAAAAGCTTATAACTAATTTCTTAGACAGGATTCAAAAACAAAAATAACACATGAATGATAAAAATAAATTTGTTTAATAACAGGTTATTTTATAACAAATCATTATATGTTACAGCTGGCATGACATGACGTCATTGAAAAATAATTTGTGCAGTTGTCATTCAAAACTCATTCATTAGTGGGCGTGTCACATTCCAAAAGGAAATGTGTAAAAGATAACATATTTTTCCCTGATAAATCGGTTATTTCTTCGTTGTTTATTTTTGTGTAGGTTGTAAGATATTTGAATATTTCATGATGTTGTAGACCATGTTTTTTTGTTTACATCGTAGAATTACAGCGATCAACAAAGGAGGTGAATGTATGTAACTGATATTCCATTTATAAAACTCAGAAGGTGGCATGTTGCCATAAACACCTCCAATCATTATCAAGTGGGCGGAGCTAGATCAAGAAATGAAAAGAAAACATTGATGAATCATAAAACTGCATTTTGCATACAAACAATGAAATATTGATTATTGAGTTGTGAATGAAAACAAATAGGAAAGAAAAGGAATTTTTAGTATATTTTTGTTATAATGAAAATAATAATAATGTCACCAGGCGGTCATTTAACACAACTTTTGTTTAGTTGTTGATTTCATTATTCATAACCTCTTTTTGCAGGGATTTTTTGAAGAAATAGAAGACATTAAATTTGCCTTTCAACAGTCTGCCAAACTGAACGTGGAATATGAAAAGACGATAAAGAAACTATGTAAACAATACAGTGTACCGTATCCTTATCCAGAACGAACAGTTAAATGAGACAAGGAGAGAACTGATGCATTTCTGTGATATGAACTTATTCTTATTCTATTTAACTTGTACTTTAACAATATTTTGCATTTCATGTGTTATGCTTTTTTTAACTGGTAATGCAACTTATGGACCATAATTGAACTGACGTGGAACATTGCTTGAGAATCCTCACACCTGCCAGTTTAATAGCAAGGAAATACCAAGTACCAGTACAAGAGTTTAAAATATGTGCTTTTTACTCAAAAATACATGAGAGTTCTCATTTGAGAGAGCCTTACTTCTTTCCTTTGATAAGGACAGAGATTTTTAAATGACATAAAATTTAAATATTGTTGTCGCAATTGAATTAGATGATATTTTGCATATATGTTGAAATGTGTGAATTCTAGGCAGACGTTGATTTCTGTTAATGTTTTTTAGCGATTTCAAGCAGAGTTATGGCACTTCCTTGACATAAAAAACTGTTAAAATTTGGTTATCTTACCATAAGTTTAGAATGCCTCAATAAAATTAAATAATATTTGTACTTGTATATTTAAATATGAAAAGTCTAGGCCAAATTGTATTTTCACTAATTTCATGGAAAGAAACCGAAAAAAGTTGGTTTCAACATCATAACTTTAGAATATCTCATTATAATTTAATAGTATTTTGCATGTATGTTGAAATATTCAATATCAAGGTCAAGATTGATTTTTGCTAATTTCTGGAAAATCCGGAGTTATGGACCTTTCTTGACGAGAAATCGTGAAAAATATGGTTTCCCCATCCTAACTTTAAAAATGTCTCAATGGAATTAAATATCAGTTTGCATGTATGTTGAAATATTGAAAATATTGGTCACTAATAAAATATTCTGTTAAACTTTAAATTGCACTAGTTTCATGAGTATTCACTACAGGTTGAATTATGATACCGGTAATAATAATAAGCTTTATTTATTGAGGATATAAAACATGTTTAGCCAACGGCTAATCTTCCACATGGTCCTCTGGTTAGTAAAATAATGTTAGTTAAAATCTGCAAAGCTACATACATGAATCAAGTTTCAACTACAAACTTCATATTAAAAAACAATGGGATTTTAAACTACATCATAGAAAAAAAATATCACTGACATTAATTCCAATTATCACAGAATGCACAATTACTCATGCAAAAATATTCCATCAATTAAATGGCATGTGCCTAATATACATATATGCTGATATAGCAAACAGATAAACATTGACATAGTTATAGCTAATGTAGCATAGTCTAAAATTTAAGAAAATGGGATAACAATCATTATAAGGCGAAATCCAAGATAGCTGCCTCTCGACCATTTTTGTTTTTCTGTTCTGTCCAAAACTCAAACAAGCACAACTAAAGACCAACAGGAACATATACATAAATTTTGAGAAATATCCATGCAGGATTTGTTACCTGATCAGACCAAAAAATCAATCAGGCGCAACTATGAACCAAGGGGAACCTAACTATGAAATCTGAGAAAGATCCATCCAGTACTACTCAAGAAATAACGATAACAACCTTTCAAATTCAAAATCAACGATGGCAACCTGTCGGCCATTATGTTTTTCTGATCAGGCCAAAAGCTAAATGGGCACAACTAGAGAAAAAGGGAAACATGCATAAGAAATTTGAGAAAGATCCTCACGGAACCTTTCAAAAAGTCGCGAAAGCCATTTTCATTTTTAAAAAAATCCAAGACGGCCATCTGCAACCAATTTTGTTTTTTTTCTGATTAGTCCCAAAATCAGTATGTCTGTAAATAAAAAGTATGTGTCAGCAAAATAACAATATATGTCAGTATATCAAAGTATGTCAGTAAATCAAAGTATATCAGTAACTCAAAGTATGTCAATATATCAAAGTATGTCAGTAAATCAAAGTATGTCAATATATCATAAAATAATAAGCAAATGTCAGTATATATATCAAAGTGTGTCAGTATGTCAGTAAATCAAAAGTATGTCAGTAAGTCAAAGTATGTCAGTAAATCAAAGTTTGTCAGTATATCAAAATTTGTCAGTATATCAAAGTTTGTCAGTATATCAAAGTATGTCAGTAAATCAAGGTATGTCAGTATATCAAAGTAAGTCAGTAAATCAAAAGTATGTCAGTAAGTCAAAGTATGTCAGTAAATCAAAGTTTGTCAGTATATCAAAATTTGTCAGTATATCAAAATTTGTCAGTATATCAAAATTTGTCAGTATATCAAAGTTTGTCAGTATATCAAAGTAAGTCAGTAAATCAAAGTATGTCAGTAAATCAAAACTATATGTCAGTAAATCAAAGGTGTCAAACAAATAAAAACAGTACTATGTAAGTATATGTCAGCAAATCAAATAGTATATGTCAGCAAATCAAATAGTATATGTCGGTAAATCAAAAGTATATGAAAAGATCAAAATATATAACTACACAAACATAGTCGGTATGTAAAGTAATTATAAATTAATTTTTGTTTCATTTTTCCTTTTTTTCCAGAAAAAATAAAACAAAACATTTCGAAACAAACATAAAATAATAAAGTCTGTTCTATTAACATTCACTCTGTTTAAATTTGTAAGAAACTATTACTGGAACTATAAGAACACTAACCTCAATACAGTAGGTTATTATAACCCTAATTTCTTATACTTGGTAAAAAGAATAATTCTTGTTTCTCTATTAACATCTAGATTTCAGAATGCCACACGTATCATCTTTATCACCAATACAGGAAATACTCCGGCCTATAAACTACATTAGGACCAAACTCGTCATAATCTGCTGGTCTTGTCCAAATTTGTCTCGTCGATGAAAGACTCCCAAAAATTGACCCTCCTATCCAGGTTGAAAAGGGCCGTTCAGGGGGAGCAACGATTTTGGTTCGTATGGTAGATGGCAATAACTTCTGCAATTCTCGTGTCAGTCTAGATACCAGCCCTTCTACCATTGTGTTGCTTCCGGCAAGAATAACATTGCAGGACATCATACTGATTATATCTGCAGGACATGCTTTAATACTTTTCTCAATCATTTCGTGTATACCACAAGCATTACTTCCAATCAAATTTGGTTTAAACAGAGCCTCCATGCACTGGAACCTCTCATAACCAAGAGATATAGAAGATCCATTAGACAAGGTGTAGTCCTTTTTGATGTTGTCCATATTTTCCGCTTCTGGGTTTTCCGAAACGAAAGCACATTGCTCTTTCATCATGTTTACTTCCTCTATTTCTTTTGTTGTGGTAAACGAGTAACCACATTTCCCAAGAAGTTCGATTAAGTAATTAGTTATATCATTGCCACCGATATCGTACCTAAACATGGTTTGGGTAAGTTTCCATCCTTCAAATACACACCCAACAGTTGTTACTTCATAACCCGAATCTATCACAAGACCAGATCCTCGTCCACTCGAGAACAGAGTCAATACATTAGGGCCAAGGGCGTACATTCCTTGCGACTGAAGTTTCTCGAATATGATTTGAGCCATTTTCTCCCGGTTTGACTTTGGATTCAGAGGTGGTTCCGTTATGAGCGCATAACAGTCAGAAGAATCTACATGAAGGTCATTGAACACTTGGTGCCATACTGTCTCCATGACATCCCAGTCAGTCACGATTCCTCGCTCTATGGGTCTTCGAACATCCAAGGCATCCATGTTTTCAATCACTTGATCGCCTATGTAGCACTTTTCCAGTGGTCTACCAGATATCGTTTGTCCCTGGAAAAGTTATTGATTAAAATAACGTACAATGCAAAGTAGTCGTGTACATTGTATATATATGTGTAATGATTTACATGCATACAGTCACATACACTTATTTACCATCCGATATTATTTACATTCATAGTCATATACACTTATTAACCATCCGATATTATTTACATTCATACAATCACATACACTTATTTACCATCCGATATTATTTACATTCATACAGTCATAAACACTTATTAACCTTCTGATATTAATTACATTCATAGAGTCATATACACTTATTTACCATCCGATATTATTTACATTCATACAGTCATATACACTTATTTACCATCCGATATTATTTACATTCATACCGTCATAAACACTTATTTACCATCCGATATTATTTACATTCATAGTCATATACACTTATTAACCATCCGATATTATTTACATTCATACCGTCATAAACACTTATTTACCATCCGACATTATTTACATTCATAGTCATATACACTTATTTACCACTTATAGTCATATACACTTATTAACCATCCGATATTATTCACATTCATACAGTCATATACACTTATTAACCTTCCGATATTAATTACATTCATACAGTCATATACACTTATATACCATCCGATATTATTTACATTCATACAGTCATATATACTTATTTACCATCCGATATTATTTACATTCATACCGTCATAAACACTTATTTACCATCCGATATTATTTACATTCAAAGTCATATACACTTTTTAACCATCCGATATTATTTACATTCATACCGTCATAAACACTTATTTACCATCCGACATTATTTACATTCATAGTCATATACACTTATTTACCATCCGATATTATTTACATTCATAGTCATATACACTTATTAACCATCCGATATTATTTACATTCATACAGTCATATACACTTATTTACCATCCGATATTATTTACATTCGTACAGTCATAAACACTTATTAACCTTCCGATATTATTTACATTCATACAGTCATATACACTTATTAACCATCCGATATTATTTACATTCATACAGTCATATACTCTTATTTACCATCCGATATTATTTACATTCATACAGTCATAAAAACTTATTTACCATCCGATATCCTATTATGCAATAGAAGTGGCATGGGGTGTATACTTGTGGGCCTAAACGCATTAAAAAGGTCGGCTATATGAGACCTCGTGTGATTTTGTGTCCAACATGAAATGTGTTGAATGTAAACTCAATAGTCTTTCACCCTAAAAACCTTTGAAGTTTAAGAGTGGGACGCAGTCGTTGACGCCGAGGAAACAGCATTCGTAACCGGACAGACGATAAGAAAATGTCATATCATGAATAAATTCAGATATAACAATAAGTAAATCGAATGACAGTTATGGTCAATTAATTTTGTGGGAATTCGTATCAAAACAAAGACGTACACATTCTCCGCTGATATCACAAAACCACACATGATAACATTGCCATCTACATCAATCGCGAAGCCTGTCAAACCGAACCAGCTTTTATCAAAGTGCTGAAATTAGCTAATTAAGATTGTATCCTGAACGAAAGTCGTCATCCCGGTCTGACTAATATTGAGAAGCACAACAAAACGATATAGAAGCACTTAAATATCTAGATGCAATGCGTGTAATATTTGTGACCCGTGTGAGGCATTGATGATATTTTAAGATCGACATTAACCGTGAATTCTTCATCAGTCAGAAACAACCTACAAAGCACAATGCAACTAAACAGCGCGCAAATTTTTGTTTTAAACAGTCTTTTCATCAAACATTATTTTTATCGCGGCAAATCATTCTGTCGACGGAATTAAGTTGTTTTGTTTAATAATTTATCTTGGGACAATGCAGTCAGCACTTGTCTTGGAGAAATCCGATGTTTTGTTTGCTCTCAAAGTGGCGGAATGGATATTATAAATATCATACAACATTTTGATGTTTATAGTAATGAAAACAACAAAGAAATTGAAACATATCACGATGTCTCATTGTATTGTTTCCTAGACGAAGTATTTGTCAATATGTTCGATTTCAGTAGTAAAGAAGTGATTTTATTTGTAAGTGTTAAATACTCACCACCTCTACACGTTGGAATAGATAATCTTACATAGGTGTCGCTGTAATATCGAATTTATTCAACGAGATCAATAATTAGAAATCCATTGATCATAAGGCCAGATACTGGCATCTCTTTCAAGGTAAACAACGGAGTGACTGTAAGCTTTTGCGTATTTCTGTCTCTCCCAAAAAGCCATGTATAAAAAGGGTTCAAGCAATTACCTCATACAAAGGGGTTCCTACTACCGTCCGAAAAAAACTCCTTGGTTCGTCGTCCCCAGCAAAACCAGCCTTGATCCTATAGGACCCGTTGTCAAGGACAACACAGACATCTTCGTCGTCGGAACTTGACATTTCTACCCGATCGAGCTAGCTCCCGGAACTTATCCACACCTGTAAAAACTTGGCCATGTTATTCAGGAGTAAAATTTTTTTTTTTAATTTTCCAATTTTTTAATCATATTGACAAAATGTATATTCTTTTTGTTTACCTTGATCTATAGCTGAAAATATAATCATTAACATATTTGTAATAAGGGTAATTGTTTTCTTCGACTAGAATAGGCATCGGACCTGTGACCTCTGGCTTATAAGGCTGATACACTAGACCGATCGAATTAAAGAGAATCGGTAGGAGCTAGAAGAAGTGGGGTTCTCTGGTGCGTCATATTCCTCTCCAAGAAAGAAGTATGATTTTCACAGATGCAACGGCCATGCATATACAAGCAAAACCAAATATTTTGTCAATAATTCCCCGGGTTCTACATGGGCGCTTGTGTAATGGAGATTATTAGATTTCAAAACTCTGCGATGGGTTGAACAAGAAACCTCTGACTTCTTTGACAAACTTTCCGACAGATTTCCATCAATGAGAGAAATACATTTTAGCAAAGAATAATAATTAACTATGCAATGAGCGATTTTGAACGCATCCGACCGATGGCATCGGGCATGGGGCAAAATAATCAACTTAAGTAAACATAAACGTCCTTCAATCTGCCGCCTGTGGCCAAATGCCACGACCTGGTCCTATTGGTGGTACTTTTGATCTGTTTGATCTTTAACAAATTGGAAAGTATCTAGGTTATTGTGAAGTCTTGAAGAAATATAAACACGATACCGGACTGAGGAACGACGTATGTGGCACCACGGCGAACGACCAAGTGCCCCAGAGGAGCTTTCATGAAACCCATGTTGACTGTTCTACACCAATGTAAGCTAAATTTCTTTCCCACGAACTCTTAGTGGGAGCATATTATCAAAGATGTGACGTAATCACCAAACAGATCTTTCAGATAGCAACCTGAAATACAGTCATCTGAAAAGATAATTGTCCTATGAAATACAAAAATACACACACACACACACACACATATATATTTATCAATCCTTTAATTTCTCCTCCATATAGCAGAAAAAAGATTAATATTCAATTAAAGTCATAATAATGTTAAGGCTTATTTTCAATACGATATTAACGCTTTATTTCATAACAATACATTGAAACATGTAAACCTTTATAAGATGGCCAGACCCATTGTGATATTGCAAATAATTTCTAATGAATTAGCAAAGACTGTGTTACATGTGTGATTCTGCATTTCTTCAGTCGCTTGCTATGATACAAACATTAAGCCCGTACCATAAGTGATTCTACCTATATGGATGAAGCAGCTGTGTAACGTTTAATTCATTAACTGACGCTACTTTATTTATCTCTAAATTTTAATCATTTTAAACTCAAGCCTTCCATTGCATTCAAAATGTTGACATAATATATAATGATTAATACAGAAGTACCTATAACATATTTCCGACATGATTGAAATCAATTAAAACAATTAACACGTTCGAGGTATCGTTGGAAATGTCATGATATTAACCGCAATCCTTTGGAATCAAAAGAATAACACTACTGTGAATAAAAATGATAATTCAATCTGGCGAAAATCTATTTATTTCAATGTATAAAATCAATTTTCAAGTTCAGGTCTGACGGTGCAGATGATATGAGTATATTGTTCGGACTCATAACTTTTTCATGAGTTTATCAGTGTATGTGTACACAGGTATAGGCGTGTAACCCCGTCAAATATCTTGATAATATCTGTGACATTAGAGCAGAATAACCGAGTCCGGTGTCAATTTCGTCAATAACTTACGTAGGAGCACATTTCTGAGGATATTACAAATAAATTGAAAACAAACAAACAATACAGGACAGGAAATGTCGTTGAAAAGCATTATCTTGTTATTAAAACATAAGATATAATATTCAAATTGTTTCAGTTTTTCAATTATAGCCATGGATAACAATGCAGAACTTCATCAAGAAAAGTTCAACGTGAAGAAATAGTGACACGTTGCATAACTCCCACACGCGCTAATCACATTGCTAAAGAAATCGCCACTTGCATTCTTCCATTCCTAATTCATGCATTCTGATGGAATAATACTTACGTAATTAATCAATGCTTAACATCCGTTTCCATTCCCATCATTCTAGAATAATACAACACAGAAACAGTCATCCAACAAATTCCATCTACGCCTGTAATTGGCGTTACATGACAGGGGAAATAATGTTTTCTATACATACGATGCAATGCCATATTTCAATGACAATGATACGTGATCGAATGACATTAGTTTTTTTAATTTTGATTCTGTGGACTTATTACGTTCTGTACATTTCAAAAGTTGTCAAACACATAACTTGAAGTTATCCATACTTGTTAAATTCTGGCCTAAAAATTATATTAGGCCCGAACTCGTCATAATCTGCTGGTCTCATCCACATGTCTTCTGCTGCAGTCAAACTACATATAACTGAGCCTCCTATCCACGTTGAGCTGCGTCTCTCTGGAGGCGCGATCACTTTGACTTTAACATTACTTGGCAATAACTTCTTCAGTTCCTGGTCCACTCTTGAAGCTATGTTTCGCTGCATCGTATTGCTTCCTGAAAGGATAATATTGCTGCAGAGTTCAGTTTGGTGATGTATAGGACATGCTTCAATGCTTTTCACAATCAGTTCATGTATACCATAAGCATTACTTCCTATCAGTTCCGGTTTAAACATAGCCTCCATACACTGGAACCTTTCGTGACCAAGGTGAATGGTATTTCCATTCGATAAAGTATAATCCGTTTTGACATTGTTCATCATCTCCGCTTTCGGATTTTCTGAAACGTAAGCACATATTTCCTTCATCATGTGTACTTCCTCTTGTTCCTCATCTGTAGTAAACGAATAACCTCTTTTCCCCAGAAGTTCAATCAAGTAATTAGTAACATCATTGCCGCCAATATCGGATCTGAAGATGGACTGAGCTATTTTAAATCCCTCATACACACATATAACACTTGTCACTTCATAACCCGAATTTATCACCAAACCTGTCATCCGGCCAGAGGCGTACAACGACAGAATATTGGGACTAATAACATACATTCCTCGTGGCTGGATTTTTTCAAACATGACTTGTGCCATTTTCTCTCTGTTTGTCATCGGATTCAGAAGCGGTTCCGTTACAAGAACATTATTATCTATAGGGTTTATACGAAGATCACTGAACACGTGATGCCAAACTGTCTCCATGACATCCCAGTCAGTCACGATTCCTCGCTCTATCGGTCTTCGAACATCCAAGGCATCCATGTTCTTTATAACTTGGTCACCTACGTAACATTTTCTCCGCGACATTCCTTCATTCATAGAGTGCTAAAACACAAAATGTCAAATACTATCGCACAATGTATACAAGACATGTAAACCTTAACATTCATTTTTTTTTAAATTACCACAATGTGGAGATGATACCTGTACATTTGTGCATCGTTATTTACATGCATGTATTATGTATTGATAGATGATTCTAAATATAAAAAATACACCATCTTTAATTGTAATTAAATTACAAATTGTCAGGCTGAATACATGATGAATATGCATACTTTATTGTAAAATACAATACCTGATACAATGGGGTTCCTACCAAGGTCCGAAATATACTCCTCGGAGAATTATCTCCGGCGTACCCTGCCTTAACCTTGTAAGACCCGTTATCAAGGACGATAGTGGGATCTTCTTCGTCTGAAGTCGACATTTTCGGTAATTTGATTTAGTCCTTGACAATCCACATCTGCAAATATTATCCTTTCTTAATAATGAGTCATTAAATCGGATTGATTATAGTCCGTGGGTTCAAAAACGAGAAAATATCACCCTGTGCACATAATCACCACAGAAACTTAAAATTTAAAAAAAAAAGCAAAATATGAAAAGTACGAAGCGGATAACACCAGAGTAAGCATCTTCTGCTTCATCGACGACACCTGTCATGCAATATTGGCAAATCCAAGTATTGTGATATATAAGCACCATATGTTGGGGATGCAAGTATGATGCTATCTAGAAGAGGAAAATTTGCAAGAGGGAAATGGAAATCATCGTGCTTATGATTCAGAATGAGGAGTAGCTGTCCTTATTGGTTTTGTTGAAGGAAAAGATTGAAATAAGCAGCTGAAGAGTCTGTCGTGTCCTTGATTTCAAATTCTGTCGGGTATGTACGATGGACGTGGTGAATCGTGAAAGAGGAGATGTGACCAATATATCTGAAAGTGAAATCAAACGACTTTGCATGGTCTGCAAGATCTCATATTTCCATAAATTTCTTCCATACCGATGTACCAAGTTTTAAAGAACCCTTATATGCTCAAGAAGACATTTAACTATTGGCAACCAAAGCAAATGTTTAATATCAATAATTGTGGTACTATTCATATCCATTATCATTAGTATATGATGGCGACTTCATGTAAAATGAAAGTCATGTAGAAATGAAATTATATCTAAATTAAGATTTATCATTAATAATTATGTAATAAAACAAATAATTCATGCCTTTCCATGCTACAATTCTCTCCGATGTTTATACTTGATGTGTTATATTGCACTCGACTTCCGGTCTCATGCAATATAATACATTATCAAATAATAGTGAATAACACTTTGTGATCTCCTACAACAATAAGAAAAAGCAACATTGTCTTCCAATATGGAAAGACAAATCAAAGCATACATTCAATACAATCAATTCAATATAATGTGAATTACACAATAGCGATATCAGATATTGTGTATGTTCTGATCCTAATCTCACAAATTTGATTTACTTTGCGACAAAACGAGAATATACAAAGAAGGATAATTTAAGAAGTGTAGCACATAAGTACATTTTCTCATACACAACTGAGATGTGATTACAACAGTTGTTATTTTCATACACGTTCCATGGACATATACGATATGGTTATACATACTTATCTCTAACACATACTGTAGCACTCTATTAATACTTTTCCTGTATTAAAGGTCAACGATTATCCTTTTCTAATGATTTTCTAATTTCCTGTCATTTCATTTCGATACAGTATAAACAGTTATTGATATTATTAGTATTTGGACATTTGAGGCCACCTGAACTAGTCATAGTCCCCTTGGCTTACCCAAGAGCAATGCTACATTCAAACGTGATACAATTGATACTGCTACCCACGTTGAACTGTGTCTGACTGGGGGGCGGGTTGAATCACTTTGATTTTCCTGTAGCAAAGCACAAATTATTGTATAAGTTCCTTTTGTAAGCTAAGTCTACCCACATAGTATTCTATCCCGAAATAATGATATATCCACAGACATGAAACGTATAGGACATGATTCAACGCTTTTCAAAATCAGTTCTTGCATACTACCATTAACATAGTCTCCATGCACTGTAAACCAGATAGTATTCGATTCGGTAAAGTATACTTTTTTGTATCTCGAAATATGCCGTTGCATGGATTTAGAAAAACGAAAACGCGTTGTTTTTCATCACGTTTCCTTCCTCTATTTCTATAGCTATTGTAAACGAGTAGCGACGTTTCCGATCAAGTTATTAGATATGTCATTGAAGCCAGTATCACAAGACGAATCGATTTACCCTTTATCCTCCATACACACACGTGACATCATAACCCGAATCTGTCACAAGACCTGATCCTCGACCACGCATGTACATAGACAGCATACTGAGCTAAAAACGAACATTCCTTGTGGCTGCATTTCCTTAAACATCTGAGTGTTTTTCATCGGTTATTCTGTTACAATCATGTTTACATTGAAAAGATTTCACATACGAAGATCATCGAAAGCGTGATGCCAAACGGTGTATTTGGCAACGATTACCTGCCCTATCGGTCTTCGATTATCCAGGACATTCATGTCCTGTAAAACCTGTTAACCTACGTACATGGCCTATCATTATTTATTTTGTCCTGGAAGATACAAACGATATAAATTAATTTTTTTCAAAAGTGAAATGTTTTATTCTATAGACAACAACATCTATTTCCACCAGCAACATGTTTCCCTCATTTATTCATTCATCACTACAAATAAGCATATTGCTCTCGATATCACGTTAACTTTTGATCCCAAAAGGTATACTTTCTACGGAAATTTTGAAATGGGCCTTTACAATATTTCCTGCTCACAAATGTACAGCGTTGTTTTCCAACCGCGATAATTAGGATCATCTGAAGATCCTTAAAAGCAAACGTTTAGATGTGGATATTTTTAAGGAAAAAAATAACTAAATGCATATAAAAGTTAATGAAGATTGAGATATTGCAATCTGTAGCTTACGTTGCTTGAAACCTGATATATTGGGAAATTCCAAGGAAATATTTCAAATATTGTCGCCTGGCTATTCATTGACAAGGAAGGGCGAAACAGCCGCACGATGCATTTTATTATTTCGCTTTTCTGTGTCTTATTCTAAATTTGTATCGAAATATAGAAGTCGCTAGTGTTTTCTATGTGTAATCATTGGGTCACAGTGATAAATCATTAATAGTGTGAACTCGTTTAATGAAATTGCCTTAATATTTATTAATATTGATATCTATCAATAGCTATGATTTCCGTATCTGTATATCTTGATTGCAACGTGTCGCAAACTGGATTTCAAAAGTGCCGAGAAGCGAGCGTATGAAAAACGACACAAATCTAAATACGCAATACCATTATGATCACCTGGCTCAAATATGCATACTTTGGTAACAGATACTTACACTTGGACGAATTATCTTGAATGGAATATCATTCCATTAATGATAGATCAAACATACTCCGTGGAAAATCAATATATTTATTTCCAATATATATGAAATAAACCTTTAAAATCCCACATTGTTTTCACACTGACACCATGATACAAGATTTACATTTTTTTTCTAGAAACATTGTCGTAAATAATGATGTGGTTACATTTATTGACAATCAGGCTTCTCATCAATGCTGATTACCTTGGTCTTCTTAACTCTTTCTATATCGTATTGAAAGTACTAGTTAGCATAAATGTTTTCCTATTTTCATCAACTCTCTTAGTGATGAACATTTAGAAAACACGGTAGCATTAGTCGCTGTGATCAACATTAAATAACATTAGTTCTTATACATATATAAGCATAACCATAGACTAGTATATCTAGTATAATATCACATTCCTGCAATATAAACAGGAGTTGTTTTTACAGATCAACACATCAACAACTAATATGCCATATGGCAATATCTGATGAGAAAACACGAAAAATACAGTAATATACGGACAGATCAAGACAACCAACTTGATTCTATAGTCACATTTAGCACCATTGCCCAAAATATTGCACTATTGCGTCGGTTGAAAAAGTGGTTCTCAGACTAGACGCCATAAATAGCGGTAAAACAAACCATAAGGTGATATGTAAATTTTTTTGTGTGCATGTTTATTCTATACATCTATTGTATATACAACAGGAGCAAATGTGAAAGGCACTAAGCAGCATTGTGTCCACATCCCAACTTGATAAATACAGCGCAGGCACCATCTCACACTTCCTGAATAGGGAACTGGTGTTCTACTCCACATACGCCGAAAATACAGCTGTAGGTAAGCACTTAAGTGATTCTTTTGTATTAGTATCCATTATATCACGCTTTGTTCCTTGTATGTCAATTATACAACTGATCCATTTTGGCCTTTTCTAATACCTTGAATCATCAATAAAGTTTCAAATTTGTACAAATATCTTTCAATCCCGGATGAAGAGCCATTGGAATTCACCAATAATTAAAGAATTGTGGTCTGTAAACTATGTTAGGACCAAATTCGTCATACTCTGCTGGTCTCATGCACATTTGCCGTGCAGTATATAGACTTCCTACAATTGATCCTCCTATCCAGGATGAATAGCGTCTTTCGGGGGGAGCAATGACTTTGATTCGAATGTTTGTAGGCAATACTGCCCGAATTTCCTTGTCCAATCTAGAACTTAGCCCATCTATCATTGTATTGCCACCTGTAATGATAACATTGGCGCAGATATCAAGTCGAGTATCAAAAGGGCAACTTTTGATGCTTTTCAAAACTAGTTCATGTATACCGTAGTCATTACTTCCAATCAGTTTTGGTTTAAACATGGCCTCCACGCACTGGAACCTTTCGTAACCAAGGTGAATGGTATTTCCGTTGGATAACGTATAATCCTTTGTGATGGAATCCACATCCACTGCTTCAGGATTTTCTGCAACAAAAGCCAATCTGTCCTTCATTGTGTTAGCTTCCTCAATTTCTTTTGCTGTAGTGAACGAGTAACCTCGTTTTCCAAGAAGTTCGATCAAGTAATTAGTAACATCATTGCCGCCGATATCGGATCTGAAGATACACTGAGAAACTTTATAGCCTTCATACACACACACAACACTTGTCATTTCATAGCCCGAATCTACCACGAGGCCTGACACCCGTCCGCACGCATAGTGTGACAACACGTTGGAGCTAAAAATATACATTCCTTGAGGCTGAATTTTCTCAAACATGATTTGTGCCAGTTTCTCTCTGTTTGACTTTGGATTCATCTGTGGTTCTGTTACAAGGACGTTTACGTTAGACGGTTTTACGCAAATATCATCAAATACATGGTGCCAAACTGTCTCCATGGCATCCCAATCGGTAACTATCCCTCGCTCGATTGGTCTTCGAATGTCTAGGACATCCATATTTGCAATTACCTCATCACCAACGTAACACTTTTTCTTTGAGCTATCCTTGATCATATGGTCCTACAAAAATCAACAGTTCAAGCACATGTATATTGAAATTCACATCCTAGTGAATGTAATAGAAATATTAATTGTTGGTTACTGAAGTAACACTCTAGATTCTTGCTTAATCGAAAACAAACAAACAATTATCACTGAGGTAAAGTCTATATTTCAAGTTGTGGTTCAAATAATATAGACATACATAATTGTTATTCAAATACGTTGACACAGTATACGTAAACATTGTTCACAATAAAATAAAATTGGTCCTCCCATTTATCAGTCACTGTAAAAAAAGTTGTATAAAGAAATGTAGGGAACAAAGAAAACTGAAATGTAACCACCTCAAGCAATGGTGTTCCTTTAACTGTACGAAATATCCGAACTGGACCATCATCCCCAGCAAATCCTGTTTTGATAGTATGGGACCCATTGTCAAGGACAACACAGACAGGCACTTCATCCGATATCTCCAACATTTTCAGGTAGCCTGAGTGCACTCTCGATAATATTCCACGCCTGCAAAGACTTCATCTCGTAAATAAGAGTAAACATTTCCAAACATAGTCACGAAAACTAAGTATTCAGATATGTGGTTTATGAATGTCCAAGAGGAGCTTGCTAATGCATGCTATTAGTACATATTCAACGTTAACAATATGTTAAGCATTAGGTTGTTTCAACGATGTTTAAACATTTTAAAAGATTTTACATTTGATAATAACATATAACATTTTCCAAATCCATGTCATTTTTGTGATGCAATATCATAGATTCCATGCAGATGCCTTGTTATCAAGGTGAGTTGACATACAAGCTATGTTTGCTCATGTCTAAATTATCCCACACACTCCCTATTGTACAGCTACCAAGAAATCAATGAGTGATTGGAATTGAATAAAAATGGTACAGGACATAGGAGGAAACAAAAGGCTCAATACTTTAAATTCATCGGCAGAAATAAATACCACTTTAAATGATGGAAAGCAAATGCGTTAACACTTAACTTCATTTGATGAATAAGTATCTACCAACAAACTGAAATCAAGCACTTCCGCTGCTTCAGAATCGTACCACTTCTTTTTTTAAGAAGATAAACTAGCTCCTCATTTCCTAAAAGAATTCTAAAAGCTATTCGTCCCTGGTAACTTGACCAATCATCATCGTTCTCAGCAACTGAACTAACCATCACCGATCCAACCCTCATCATTTCCATTAGATGAAATGGTCATTACTGATCCAATCATCACTGTTTCAAGTTGATCAATTAACCCACATCGTTCCAACCATCATCGTATCCAGTAGATGTAATAGCTGTAATCCGTACAACCGTCATCATTTCCAGTAACTGAACTAACCACCATCGTATCCAGCAGCTTAATTAGCCATCACCAATCCAACCTTAATCATTCCCAGTACCTGAATTAGCCATCATCGTTCCAATCATCATCATATCCAGCAGCTTAATTAGCCATATTTGATCCAATCATCACTGTTCCCAGTTGATGAATAAGCCATCATTGCTCCAACCATCATCATATCCAGTGGCTTAAATAGCCATAATCCAGGCCTCATCATTTCCAGTAGATTAATTAGGCATCATCGATCCAATCATCGCATTCTCAGTAGTTTTACTGACCATCATCGATCCAATCATCATCATTCTCAGCAGGTTTGCTGACCAGCATTGATCCAATCATCGCATTCTCAGTAGGTTTGCTGACCATCATCGATCCAATCATCGTCATTCTCAGTAGGTTTGCTGACCATCATCGATCCAATCATCGCATTCTCAGTAGGTTTGCTGACCATCATCGATCCAATCATCGTCATTCTCAGGTTTGCTGACCATCATCGATCCAATCATCATCATTCTCAGAAGGTTTGCTGACCATCATCGATCCAATCATCGCATTCTCAGCAGGTTTGCTGACCATCATCGATCCAATCATCACATTCTCAGTAGGTTTGCTGACCATCATCGATCCAATCATCGCATTCTCAGTAGGTTTGCTGACCATCATCGATCCAATCATCGTCATTCTCAGGTTTGCTGACCATCATCGATCCAATCATCACATTCTCAGTAGGTTTGCTGACCATCATCGATCCAATCATCGTCATTCTCAGTAGGTTTGCTGACCATCATCGATCCAATCATCGCATTCTCAGTAGGTTTGCTGACCATCATCGATCCAATCATCGCATTCTCAGTAGGTTTGCTGACCATCATCGATCCAATCATCGCATTCTCAGTAGGTTTGCTGACCATCATCGATCCAATCATCATCATTCTCAGTAGGTTTGCTGACCATCATCGATCCAATCATCGCATTCTCATTAGGTTTACTGACCATTATCGAACCAATCACTGTTGTTGCCAGTAGCTAAATTAACCAGCATTGATACAACGCTCATCTTTCCCAGAAGATTAACTAACCATGTTTGTTCCCAGAAGATTAACTAACCATGTTTGTTCCCAGTAGATTAACTAAACATGTTTGTTCCCAGCAGATTAACTAACCATGTTTGTTCCCAGTAGATTAACTAACCATGTTTGTTCCCAGTAGGTTAACTAACCATGTTTGTTCCCAGTAGATTAACTAACCATGTTTGTTCCCGGTAGATTAACTAACCATGTTTGTTCCCAGTAGATTAACTAACCATGTTTGTTCCCAGTAGATTAACTAACCATGTTTGTTCCCAGTAGATTAACTAACCATGTTTGTTCCCAGTAGATTAACTAACCATGTTTGTTCCCAGTAGATTAACTAACCATGTTTGTTCCCAGTAGATTAACTAACCATGTTTGTTCCCAGAAGATTAACTAACCATGTTTGTTCCCAGTAGATTAACTAACCATGTTTGTTCCCAGTAGATTAACTAACCATGTTTGTTCCCAGAAGATTAACTAACCATGTTTGTTCCCAGTAGATTAACTAACCATGTTTGTTCCCAGTAGATTAACTAACCATGTTTGTTCCCAGTAGAAAAGTTGCCATTGCTCCCAACAGCTGAATCAAATATAATCATTTGCAGTAGGTGAATCTACTGTACCATCTTCTGTCCCCCAGTCAACGATTTGTCCTAGGAGCAAATCCAATCAAATCTATTTTCAGCAACGAATGAAACCATTTTAGATCCCAAGAGCTCTTCCAATGACACTCGTTCCCTGCTGCCAATCCAGACAATCTTTGTATATGCTAGTCCAGATTCCATGTCCATTCCCAGTATCAGATCCAATCACCTTCATTCAAAAGATTTCCAACAGTATATTATGGCATTAGCTTCACTGATCACGAGTCCTAAAAGGATGAATCAGTTTATGATGCAGTTTAATTCATTATTTGTAAAAATTGTATTGACAGGTGATTTTCACCTGTATTTTGCACAATCCTTTCAATCTTTAAACAAACCACTTATTTTCGTTAACAGTATTACATCAAACATCGTTCCATGAAGATGAATCTGGGTACTCTTTCCTGGTATCAATATTAATGTTTAATACCAGATGACTTTCCGGTTACTTTTATTTCCTGCAACTGATCTAGTCATCCCTCTAACGTGATCTAGATAATATCCTACCAAGTCAATAATCTAATCACTTAATAGAATACCGGTAAACAATAAAATTAAAGTACATGTAGATACATGTTAACTAGCTATAATAACTGCAAGATCTTGGTTATGTGGTTACCATTGTTCTAAACTTATAGACCCCGATAAACAATATAGCTATAATTTTGACATTGATTATCACAGCAGGTCATCTTCGCTAAAAGTAGACAATCTATTCACATCAATTCACAGTGAATATTCGTTAATTGCGATTTAATTCAGTCATCTTTGTTCCAGTTTTCAAATTTTTTTTAGATTTAATGGGGTTAGCTGCAGATTTTAAACATCTATTTTGACCCATTATGATTCTCCTCACTTGTCTCCTTGTTTCAACATTTCATGCCCAGAGCATTGTTAACTAGTCCCAATTCACAATGGATGAAACAGCAGTAAACTATATGAGGCATTCATTATTTGAGTCATTAGTATCCAATGTTAAGTTTGCATTGAAAGGTGCTAAATTCACTTTCTAATATCATCTCTATTTTCATGCAGTTATTGTCTAGATACATTTTGATCCCATGACAGAATCTAACAAACATGTACTTAGTATGAAGATGTATTCTAAGCCATATTTATCCTTGGTATATACAACCATCCAAATCCAGTGGCATTCATTCAAAATGTTAATATTGCCACTTTCAATTATCAAGATCTTATTTGTTTGAGAATCGAATACCACACTAACTACGATAATGAATTATCCATTCTGATTTGCTGGGTATAATGAAGATATTTTCCCTATTAGCGATCTCCTTATACAACCAATTAAGTAACTGTTGATTGACTGTTAACGACTGGTTTGCACTTTAGAATCTTCATCTGGCAATATCATATTAAAGTTATAATTGGGCTGTTTTATTTTGCATCATCTATATGAAAATTGATTGAAATTGCGAAAAAAATACCTTGAATAATGTATAGCAATATATAACTTTTACTTATTTTACAACAATTGCGAAACAAATTATTTCAACTTATACTAATCACCCTTGTTGGCCCAGATGTAAGCATGCGAGGGGTCTTATTGTGGGAGGAAACCGGAGTACCACGGGAAAAGCCACATGGTCGGGCAGGTGACCCGTAACTTTCTATGTCCGTTCCCGGAATCGAACCCCAGATGACTAGGTGGAAGGCAAGTGCATTACCATTGTGCCACCTGACCACCCAAATGCATAGTACATCACTGTAACCTATCAAAGATATGTTGTTTCTGCTTTAACAGAACTGCAGAATTTTGAAAACAGTGCCTAAGTGAACTAATGTCATACAACAAGGTGTCTGACTCATTCTCTTTGTGTTGCAGTTTTAGACAATGTATGCCTTTCAGGTCAATCTTACCGACAAAACGATGCAACAAAAATTTCAACATGAGTTTTTAATGATAACTATGTGTTATACAGGTTTAAAACTCAAAATAACAAAACTTGCAAAATAAAATGTATACAAAACTTAATATGTTACATAATTACATATGATCAGACAAAGAATTAAACAAGTCTTTGCATACATATATATAATGTATCATTTTCACAACAATTTACTTAAAAATTCATGTAAATATAGAAAAAAAATAGTGAGTGAAATTTTATGTATTTCAGATGTACATATAAAATATAATCTTCTACATATTGTACGATGTCACTCATTGATATCACACGTGGAATGTCATTGAAATTTATCTGATAATATCATATTGGTTTGGTCTATTGCCCACACTTTTAACTAAGTACCTATATGTAAAACTTAACAGTCTTCATGAATCTTATTATTTTTTACTCTGTATCTTAGCAAATGCTCAAGTCTTACCAAAGAACAGTGCAGATTTACACAAAAATGATAACTTCTCCACACGAACAAAGCCAACAGGAAACTATTCAATGGTATAGACACTTGTATTTCAGAGATCAAAGTACTAGAAGTACTCACGACAAAACATGCCAATGTAAGTTTGAATTCCACAGCTCTATCCGAAATGGTCCTTAATTGGATTTTTATTTTGAAAATTATTGAAGATTTTTTAAAATCTTACAACAGGATACCTATAGAACAATAAACATTTTTCATTCGACAAAACATTTTCTCATACATTTTCTAATATTTACAACTATATCTCAAAATCAAAAATATGAAAGTGAAACAAACACATAATATCAACACCAGAAGAAACCAAAGTCATCTTTATAAAACCATCTCAAGACTCCTTAACATCATATCGCAAAATCAATAACAGATCTAATTATTACTATACAAAAAATAAACAAATTTTTTTGATACTATGTTTAACACAGAGTGAAATAACGGAGCAGCTACTTATTACACAACTTGTCTCATGGCCTATCAGTTTATTTCATGAATACCAAAATTATTTAAAAACCACATGTCATTTCGAAGGTAGCCAAGGAAAACATTGGAAAATCAAGTTTATCTTCATCATATCTTATGATAAAAGGAAATGAAACAATAAATCCTTAGCCAGCATTTTTCTATTTTCAGGTTTTTCTCAGGTTAGAATAAGGAAGGGACGGATGATTGCTGAAATGCTGGTGTCATTTTACACATGTACAGGTAAATTTCAGGTAAATGTTAGTCTATGAGATATCAAAATCCCATTATAATGATCTGAGATCATGTTTACACCTAATGACAAGTCTCTCAGTATAACAATACAAAACTCTTGTGTAAAATCCTTATCTAATGACATTTCTATGTAAACTTCACATAACAAAGTACATGCACTGCCAGTCAACCTTATATTTCTTAGAGTCATATCTGTACATGGGTATAAATATAAGTGGACTAATGGCCCTCAAAGGCAGTTATGTATTTTAATTGTAAGTGTCATGGGAACCTATCTATTCCATTCTCATGAAGTGCCAACTGTAAAAAATAACATCATAACATCAGTATTTATACATGATTTGATAAAAAGATTTACAAAAATATGATGTTAACAAAAATATTTCTCAAACACCTTGAATGGCCCGATTTGTGTCATTGGCACATATTCATCAACATTCACAAGCAGATAAGTCCTATCCTCAAATACATAAGATTTAATCACCTTATGGTCACAATGAAACACTACAGCTACACTGAAATGATATACGAATACATTGCAAACAATCTTGGTAAAAGGACTCTAATGTTGAATCATCAATGATATCAAAATACATTTAATTTGGTAAAATCAAGGTATAAAAGGAATATTTCTGTACAGCATGTAGCACAAGTCATAAACATAAAAAGCCTAAATTGACAACCTTGACTTAACCCCCAATTAGACTTTTTCATTCCTGTTCTATTAGTTTTTAATTTGTAAACACAATAACAATTTAAAGCTATGTATGTAGTGTACTTTCCAGCATACAAAGTTGTCTGATGAATCCTTCATTTGGAAAAACTTCTCGTTTAGCACGAATCATCTTCACAGCCTCCAACAGGCTGAGGTTTTTCTTCAGCAGGAGGAAAGCTAGAACAATGGTGGCAGATCGGCTGATTCCCATCATGCAGTGCACATAAACTTTTCCACCTGTTAATTTGAAAATAATTATTCATCAAATAACAATACAAAATTTGCAAACAATTTTCTTGAGTTTTCAAAACAAAACAATTGCCATTTAACTTTTTTTTTTTTTTACAAATAGTTCATTTGATTTTTTCACAAATTTAATTACTTTATCATCATTATGGTTTTTCTTTTGATTTATCATATTTTGTTTTTATTTAGTCTTCCCCAATAATTTAAAATAGTGCCAAAACTGAACTGTGGCATTTAAACAAATATATACATTGTATTATCTTATCATTAATAAGTTTTAAAATATAAGCCTATCTATGATAAAGATAATTAAATTTTGTTGTTCTGTATAAACATTGTTCTGTATAAACATTGTTCTATTTTGTTATTCTATATAAACATTGTTCTATTTTGTTGTTCTGTATAAAAATTGTTCTATAAACATTGTTCTGTAAACATTGTTCTATTTTGTTATTCTATATAAACATTGTTCTATTTTGTTATTCTGTATAAACATTGTTCTATTTTGTTGTTCTGTATAAACATTGTTCTATTTTGTTGTTCTGTATAAACATTGTTCTATTTTGTTGTTCTGTATAAACATTTTTCTGTTTTGTTGTTTTGTATAAACATTGTTCTGTATAAACATTGTTCTGTTTTGTTGTTCTGTATAAACATTGTTCTGTATAAAAATTGTTCTGTTTTGTTGTTCTGTATAAACATTGTTCTGTTTTGTTGTTCTGAAATAAACATTGTTTTATTTTGTTGTTCTGTATAAACATTGTTCTGTATAAACATTGTTCTGTTTTGTTGTTCTGTATAAACATTTTTCTGTTTTGTTGTTCTGTATAAACATTGTTCTGTATACACATTTTTCTGTTTTGTTGTTCTGTATAAACATTGTTCTGTATAAACATTGTTCTATTTTGTTGTTCTGTATAAACATTTTTCTGTTTTGTTGTTCTGTATAAACATTGTTCTGTATAAACATTGTTCTATTTTGTTGTTCTGTATAAACATTGTTCTATTTTGTTGTTCTGTATAAACATTGTCATATTTTGTTGTTCTGTATAAACATTGTTCTGTATAAACATTGTTCTATTTTGTTGTTCTGTATAAACATTTTTCTGTTTTGTTGTTCTGTATAAACATTTTTCTTTTTTGTTCTTCTGTATAAACATTGTTCTGTATAAACATTGTTATATTTTGTTGTTCTGTATAAACATTTTTCTGTTTTGTTGTTCTGTATAAACATTTTTCTGTTTTGTTATTCTGTATAAACATTGGTCTATTTTGTTGTTTTGTATAAACATTGTTCTATTTTGTTGTTCTGTATAAACATTATTCTGTTTTGTTGTTCTGTATAAACATTGTTCTATTTTGTTGTTCTGTATAAACATTGTTCTATTTTGTTGTTCTGTATAAACATTGTTCTATTTTGTTGTTCTGTATAAACATTGTTCTATTTTGTTATTCTGTATAAACATTGTTCTATTTTGTTGTTCTGTATAAACATTGTTCTATTTTGTTGTTCTGTATAAACATTGTTCTGTTTTGTTGTTCTGTATAAACATTGTTCTGTTTTGTTGTTCTGTATAAACATTTTTCTGTTTTGTTGTTCTGAAATAAACATTGTTCTATTTTGTTGTTCTGTATAAACATTTTTCTGTTTTGTTGTTCTGAAATAAACATTGTTCTATTTTGTTGTTCTGTATAAACATTTTTCTGTTTTGTTGTTCTGAAATAAACATTGTTCTATTTTGTTGTTGTGTAATCAAGTCAGTCCCTTCTTTTAAGTCACATGTGGATGTGGATGTACAAATTCATCATTGTCCTAATATTCCAAAAATGGATCAAGTGCTAAAATAAAAGTACCCCTCCAGGTTTGCCAATCTAAGTACATTTACATTATGGCACATGAATAATATATATATGTGTGTCATCAATATTTCAACCTTACCATTTGATTGTAATGCTTTTTCTATAAAGTTGGCTGCTGCACTGAAATGTGGAGTCATATTATAGGAGCTGTGATCCAATGCTTGTATTCCATGGAATGTTATGCCTGCATCACGAAAGTAAGTAACGTCACTGTCTATTTGGTTCAGTTTGATGCCTTGGCAACAGTTTACAACGTGTGTCACACCCATGGCTTTCAGTTGTCTCTTATTTTTACTACAAACTCTGAAATTTAAGAACAAAAGTCATAGATACAATACCTTCCTTTGTCTTAACTTATATTTCAACATATAATACAACTAAATATTTTCATATCAGACTAAATATTCATTCTCTTAAACAACATCTTAATGTCTAATTTTCATTATTTTGTCAAATGATTTTACTTTTTTTATTATAAAATCAAGTAAAAATAATAAAATGAAATAAAATGTATTCAGTATACTCAATATAATTTTAAAATTTGATTTTGAAAATGAACGAGACCTTTTTTCACATCAAAGGGCAAAAATGAAAATGGACTGACAGAACATGGAGAAATGTTATGAAATATTATGGAGAAATTATAATACATTTATCAGTATCTGCAAGCATGATCTTAAATAGGAATTAAATGTTGCCTTATATATGTCAGACAAAAAATCCTGAGATTGAGGAACAGTACAAAGGCAGTGATTTTTTGTAGAAATTGTGATACATGAATATTCATCGACAACATTGTTGTAAAACAATAAAGAGATATAAAACAACTTACTTATCACCAATTATGATCCCAGGATAAACTTCGTTGTAATTATCTTTAGGTGAAGCAGGAAACTGAAACATCATGACTGTTGGCTGGGCACCCACTGGAGTCTTTCCGTTGAAACTTGAATCATTCGCGTTCATCAAATACTCCCTCACGCGACTAAATGTTATTTGACTGTAAGACATCTTGGATTTTTTGCCTCTGAAATAATACTTCCTATTAGATCCAAAAGTCTTTTCCACCAATGACATTCAAAATTCCCATTCGGAATTCTAACATAATTAGAAAGAAAAAGAATGGATTGAAGGCTGAAATTCTGATGTACTTGAACCATTTATGTTGTACAATTCAAAATTAAAAAGAAATTTTCATCAGTTTTTGAGACCCAATAAACACTTAATTTTATATCCATTTCTAAATAATGTTGTACATGTATGAAAAAGTATGAAACTCAAAGCAGCTGTTTCAATTGTTTCTTTAAGATCAATTATACAAACCATACCATTTTCTTAATTTACATAGCATTAAACAGGAAAAAAAAAATTTAATTGCTGTATGTAAAAGAGAGTAATGATATAGGATCAATGTACTGGACTTTGAATGATAAAAACTATCTGGATTATAAGGACTCAAGACAACTAAATCAGCCAATGAGCAACTGGGATTCTGTTTCACCTTGTTATGAATTCCTACCTAAATTGAGATTTGGTAAAAGATTGTGCCCTCTCGGGGTTTAAATTTATGATATATGAAAGAAATCTGCATTTATTTGGCTTCATGAAAATGTACAGTTTTAATACATTTCAATGTAGGCGAAGCTAATTCAGACAGGTGTAAAATGTCAGGGTTTTTCCCTAAGCTTACATAGTTTCATTTGGAAACTTCTGGTTGTTGACTAGTGTTATTAGCTTAACTGTAAAAATTGTAAAAGATAAGTAAAAAATAAGTGATTTAGTTTTGTGAGTCCTTTAAACAATTATCTACTGTACAATATTCAAATGAAAATCCTTTGCACAAAATAAGAAGGTGAAGAAGAAAATAAAATGTTAACTGTATGTATATATGATAATTATATATTACAAGCAACTGTGAAAAGGATTCTGTAATACACGATACTTGTTATAAAATGGCACTAAATGTTATGTAAAGTTAGATGGTATATATGGAGCAAATTAGTAAATGACATTACATATGTTCTACACAAAAGTTCTACAATGCACACTTGACTACACGTACACTGCAGGCCAGCCTCCTACTTTCACTAAACAGCCTACTACTAACAAAATTATGGAAAACCCTGTATATATATCCCTGTAACTGCTGCTACACAGACAAAAATTGATGCAGACATGCATTTGAGAATGTATCATTATAGAAATACTGACAGAACACCTATTACGGATGAAAGATTTATATCTTTGAAACAATGCAATACAAAGTGCATTTCTATTCCTACATAGAAATTAGTTTATAAATACAATGGGGGAGTTGGAAAATCATGGCTGGTTAAAAATATGATATCAGGTACATAACTTAAGGGGTAGTTGGCAGGGTTTTGAATGTCTGCAATCATGAATAGATAACCAGAACCCTCCAGAGTGCTTCAGGGAGTATTGGAGATACATGATATAATCGATTAACATGGGTTTTTTTCAGAAAGAAACATTCACAAAGATCCTGAAATGGACCTCCATAATGCAAAGATGTGGTGCAGGTCACATTTGTTTTGTTTTCTTAAGTTTGCTATAATAGAAAAAATGATTACTACACATACATGTGTAACTAATCATTCTGATGCCTCCACTAGCATTCAAACCTGGCACCTCTAGGTTGCTAGATCTCTCTAGCCGAGTAGTAGTGTGCCAGGGTAATGTAAGTAAATAGTTATATATGTATATTGATTGATATTAAAATACCCTTATCCAAAGTAACATGCATGATTACATAAGGAACCATGCAATATATATGCTGATGTAAAAACTTTTCTGTAGTTACCTTTTCTTTTGGTAGATTCAGCTAATGGTGTCAAACTCCTAAAATCAGCTGACGATCAACTGCAATTTATTTAAACGTACTGGTTTCTTGAGCGGAAAAGCTGAAATTGTGAACTTCTGTTTAAACACCGGAAGAAAACCCAAAACATCACAGTAAAAGGGCCGAAGACAAGCCCGAAATAACACTGATTCCGTGAATATCAAACTGCTGAACCGGACGTGACATGTTGCTCCAACAATGTCAAGAGGTTTACACGACGAGAAAATTATGACAGGCACAATAACGTCAGCGGTCTCTTCACTCCAGCAGTGTTAGACGTTCAACACTTAGAGAAACTTTTAACGGGCGCCATGTAACATCCGTCAATGCAATCAGACAGCTATACTTAAGACCTCTTACGCAATTACGGTACTACAGGAGTACGGCCTCTTATGTTATAAGAAATGACGCATGACTTAAAAAAGAGATTTTTGGGTCTCTTCGTGTGTAAATCCTATATTTATCAATCGTCATTAATCATCAGTAAATTAAGACTTACCTGACCAGGCAGGTGGTGACGCACTTGACGGCAAACTTGTTTACGACACAGAAGTGTTTGATACGATCATGACCAATCGGAGTCACTAGATCGTTTGGTAATAGGCTAAATAAACTAGTGAGCTCGGAAACAGTCATTTAAAATCCGGAATTAAAACAATGAAGTTTTAAAGAAATTAACATTGTTTAAATTACAAATAAAAAAAGAATTGCAAAAAGGTTACAAAGTGTGAGTAAAGAAATTGGTGATAGAGAGGGAATAATACAAGAGAAAGTCTACATAATTGTAGTTTCAAGATGACAAATGGAACATACTAATTTATCCTAAGTATGAATTATTGTTAATTGAAGGGTATTTAGGTGAAAGAAGATAATTGTCATTGTAAGAAGTAAAAAAAAAATAAATATATATATCATATGGTGAAAGACTGAAGCACTATACATGTTTGTTCCCCTATTTGATCTACAATTGACCATTTGCAATTTAGATTTCAATCTTGTACAATCCGTTGATATCACATATGTATTCATAGGCGTAACAACATTTGAGAGGTTAATCTGATTAAAATACAGATCATCATAACAGAGTGTGTAATGATGATCTGTATTTTAATCAGATTGGTGAGAGGTCTACAATGTAACTCTGTAGTAAGTTAAAGTCCTTCTTAATCATGATTTTTACTCTATGTACTAACATTTATAAACATGATTCCATGATATCAGTGTGCTTGTCCGTTTTTAGAAGATTTTGTCCAGTTATCGATCAGGAGTAAAAGGATTATATATCTGTACAGTAACTGGTCCACAAATACTGCCAAGTGACATCCAATATTAACAACACAGAAATAAATAAAGAGAAAGCAGATAAACAACAGAAAGATTTACCAGTGATTTGACAAACTGAGAACAATAAAAAGCTCTCTGAAAATATCTTAACCACCATTTTATCCGACAGGCAGCCATCTTAGATTTTAATGATTAAAAATTGATATTGTTGAGAAGTACTAGATAGATTTTTTCTCAGATTTCATATGTAGGTTTCCCTTGTTCACTATGTATGCCCTTTCAGTTTTTGGACAGACCAGATAAACAAGAGTATCAGTAAAACTGACATATGCTTTCTCCCAAAAAACTATATCTGACACAAAATTTGTACAAAAGACAATAATTCTGCGATAAAGGGGTTGCAGGCCCTGAGTTTGGTGTACTGCACATTCTCTTTGTATGACCAATGTATACTGAAAGTGTTGTGATCCTAGTTTTAATGCAAGCATAGTTAAGTCATGACACAAAATTTTGACAAAGGGCAATAACTCTGTACTGAAGGGTCATGGACTCTGACTTTGGTACATTGCACCTTGCTCTTGTATGACTGATGTATACAGCATGTTTTCATATCCTAGTTTAAATGCAGGCAAAGTTGTGCTCTGTACACAAAGTTTTAACAAAGGGCAATAACTATGTAATTAAGGGGTCTTTGGAGCCCTGAATTTGGTACACTGCACATTGTTTTAGTATGATCACTGTATTTACCAGGTTTCATTATCCTAGTTTAAATGCAAGGAATTTAAAGTTGTGCTCTAGACAAACAATTTTAACAAAGGACAATAACTCTGTAAATAAGGAATGGCGAGCCCTGAATTTGGCACACTGCACACTATCTTAGTATGATTAATGTATACACCAATTTTCATTATTCTAGTTTAAATGCAAGTGAAGTTTTGCTCTGAACACAAAAAAAAAAAAAATACAAAGGGCAGTAACTCTGTAATTGAGGGGGTCGAGGAACCTGAATTTGATACACTGCACATCCTCTTGGTATGACCAATGTATACACCAAATTTCATGATCCTTTATTCACTGTGAGCAAAGTTATGCTCCAGACACAAAGGGACAGATGGATGGATGGACAGACAAACATTTTCAGGGAGCATAACAAAATGGCTGAGGTGGCCACCATCTTGGATTTTGACAATGAATGTTATGCCATTTCTTCTGGTGTCATATGGTAAGAGCGTTGGCCTACATAATTTCCAGGAGAAGGTTCGTGGTGAGGTTTGTAGTTCAACTTTCCCTACCCATGGTGGTTTGTGTTTGTGTCTCAGGAAGTCTATTGACATTGTTGTGTCTTTCGGCAAGACACTTTACCATAGCTGCATTAGATGGAATGCAACAGGTCTTCTGTACAGACTGCTCCATAATGGCCATTTGGATATCTTCACTTCAGACTGATCCATCTTATAACACTCCCTTTCTTCCAAAACTCCTCCATTAAATGTTGATCCATTATGTCAAACCCCCTTGTCATCTGAAACTCCTCAGTTCAGATTAACCATCCTTTTCATCTCCCTACATGGGTACTGGGAACTCCTCAGTTCAGATTAATCCATCCTTTTCAACTCCCTACATGGGTAGTGGGAACTCCTCAGTTCAGATTAATCCATCCTTTTCATCTCCCTACATGGGTACTGGGAACTCCTCAGTTCAGATTAATCCATCCTTTTCATCTCCCTACATGGGTACTGGGAACTCCTCAGTTCAGATTAATCCATCCTTTTCATCTCCCTACATGGGTACTGGGAACTTCTCAGTTCAGATTAACCATCCTTTTAAACTCCCTACATGGGTACTGGGAACTCCTCAGTTCAGATTAACCATCCTTTTCATCTCCCTACATGGGTACTGGGAACTTCTCAGTTCAGATTAACCATCCTTTTAAACTCCCTACATGGGTACTGGGAACTTCTCAGTTCAGATTAACCATCCTTTTCATCTCCCTACATGGGTACTGGGAACTCCTCAGTTCAGATTAACCATCCTTTTCATCTCCCTACATGGGTACTGGGAACTTCTCAGTTCAGATTAACCATCCTTTTCATCTCCCTACATGGGTACTGGGAACTCCTCAGTTCAGATTAACCATCCTTTTCATCTCCCTACATGGGTACTGGGAACTCCTCAGTTCAGATTAACCATCCCTATCCTCTCCCTCGATGGGTTCTGTGATCTCCTCCGTTCTGATTAACCATCCTTTTCATCTCCCTACATGGGTACTGGGAACTCCTCAGTTCAGATTACTTTTCATCTCCCTACATGGGTACTGGGAACTTCTCAGTTCAGATTAACCATCCTTTTCATCTCCCTACATGGGTACTGGGAACTCCTCAGTTCAGATTAACCATCCTTTTCATCTCCCTACATGGGTACTTGGAACTCCTCTGATCAGACTGATGCACTGTCTTTATACTCCCTGGTTACCAGTGTCACCAATCTTTAACCATAACTATCTGGTAACAACCATTCAAAATCAATGGTTACAGGGTATTTTAAAGGGTTATCATGGGTAAAATTTGTTAATCGATTCTCTCCAAAGTCATCAAATTTGTAAGCATTTACATGACGTTCTTTGTTATGTTTGAACATTATTTTATTAAATTAGATCCAAAATCTTTCAAATGCTGATCAAAAGTCAAGAAATATAAAATGATTCTAGCATTTGGCCATTTCATGATATGGCCAATATCGGCTTGACCCAACCAAACCAGGTGAGTTGGCAATGCTGGATCACCTGGAACTCCTCAGTTCTGATTGATCCATCATATGATATCTCGAGGTTATCCGGAACTCATCAGTACAGATTCATTCTTTCTGTTATACTCCCTGGTTATTGTATAACTCCACACTACTTAAGTATATAACCAATTCTACTTCAGTAATCCCTTTTTATCCTAGAACTCTTAAAAGTTCTAGAATGTGGAAACATCACTCACCACTTAGATGTACCCGGTAATATATAATCATTATTGTGTCTAAAACTCTATAAAGTGTCTACCCATGCCCCACGAGACTGCTTATATCAACAACAGCCCGAGGATATATCAACAGTTGAGTAACACTATATAAACAGAAGAATACTGTGTTTTACTGATGGAATTAGTTTATTAATATAAAAATTATAATTCAAGAATTTACAATTTATAAATAAAGCTGCTAAAATGGCAGCACGTAAGGAAATGTCCATGATCAAAAAGAGATCAATTCTAGAAAGTGGAAGGAATATAACATAGTGACTTGTAAGAGTTTTCTATTGAAAGACATTTTAGTAAGGATCTTAAAAATCAACACTAGGCACTGCAATCTTTTCTCTGGGACCCCCAATCTTACAGATTTTAAGAGTAAGGGACTCATATCATTAATGAAAAAGAATACTTGATCAAAATTAAGTATTTTGAGGGCAAGGGAAAACTCTGGGAACCAGCCGGTATTAAGGGCAATTTCAGAATAGATGTACTATTACTGTGAAGATTGATCATGAATGATCATCTCTGAGTGATAAATAAACTAAAAATAAAATGTTAAAATGTGGACAGTGGTGAATATTTGTTTAAATATTACATTATGCAGAAATATTAATACATTTGTTAAAATAAATGATTTATAATGATCTTGAAAGGTCTGATCGAACTTTAGAAATCTCCTGAAAGTTGCCAACAGGTGAATGTCCTTGTTAGGGTATTATCAACATGTACTGAGTAGATAACAAAATTTTGTCAATGTGTATTTGCATATTAAATTCGGATATTGTTCCACAGCAAAATTTGAACAAATTCATTACATAGAAATGGTTACAACCTCATCCTCATCGCTTATACATAAATATGCATAATCAAATAAATATGCAAATTTATACATGAATAGCAAAAGCAATCAATTACATTCTGTGATTTTCCTTTACTTACTTGCACATTAAATTAGGTCAAAATTTGCCCTTGTTTCAGGAATTCAAATTTATGGCACAGAAGCCCACAAATCAAAACTGCATGTATATGCATTGGATCATGTTAGTATGCTTCATTTTGTGTAGGAAGACATTTCAAATCAGCTGAAATTGGGCATTTTTATTTACAATTATTGCATAGAAAAAAGGGGGTTAAAAATGTAACAGATGGTCAGGCAGATATAGAAAATATCAAATACACTCTGTTTTGTTTTCAAATAGATGATGCAAAGTAAAATATTGCCATATCTAAACTCTAATCACCAGAAAATGTATGATTTTCATAACAATGACAAAAAGTGGAATTATGAAAAGGTATCAAATATTTCAAAACAAATAGAAAAGGCAATAAAGAGTAAAAAAAAGTGGAACAAAATGAAATATTAAACATACATATGATGCTACATCTACATGTATGTGAAAATATTAAAAATTTGTCAATATTTTGGACAACACCAAAGATTTTGATATGTCAAGAAAATCCTATGATAAAAAAAGTTTACATGATGTTGATATGCAACATTATCAAATCATTGTCAACTTTCAAGAATGATATTCTAACAAATGGCAACAAATGGCAACAAAACCTTTGTGATCTTACTATCTTTTGAGAAAAATATGACTTGTTAAGATATCAGATCTTTAATTTGTCAAGTTAAGGTTTTGTACTTTACAAATTGTAAACATAAAACAATAAAAAAGGAATCTCAACACCACAAAGACTTCATGTGAACATTGTCTACATGTTTCGACCGCTATGCGGCCGTCATCATGTTTCCATAGCTAAGGTTTTGGAGTGTTGGATCACCCATTATTTATTTACAAATTGTATTACAATATCTGACAAATAAAGTTTTAAAGCAATGAAGTTCATTTCTGAATTATGATGTTACACAAATAGTGAGAAATTGTCAAAAATACATTGTCACTTGTCTTCATCTTTTCGCTAATTCATGACCGTAATAAACAAACATTCTTCTCATCAAATCAAGTTTGAAAATTTAACAAAGTCAACACCTCCATCATTATAAATAATGAGATAACTAAATTATTTAATCACAAAACTCTGTATTATGCTAAAACCATTTGCTAACTGGTAGTTCAGATTACAGTAGATACTGTTTTATTTGTTGGACTTTAGGTGATCAAGAATGGTATGAAATCAAACAAAAAAAAATTCATTTTGTGACTTCCAAAGAAAACCGATCCTTTCCACTTCATGCTTTTTGCTAAAACCACACAAAATACTATCATAAAAATCCTTCATAGTTGTCAATGATTAATCTACAATATTGTCATTTATATTCATTTGTCACAGAATTTTTTCAAATGGAATGTTTCTCATTTAATAATTAAATTTCAAATCAATAAAAAAAAGGGTTACTGTCAAAACAACATGGTACAAATTGTAAACCCTGTGATATGTATACATTGTGTGTTATACCTATTGGTATATAACTGGTTCCAAGTCCCTGTGTTATGTATACATTGTGTTATATCTATTGGTATGGAATAGGTTCCAAGTCCCTGTGATATGTATACATTGTGTGTTATACCTATTGGTATGGAACTGGTTCCAAGTCCCTGTGATGTGTATACATTGTGTGTTATATCTATTAATATGGAATTGGTTCCAAGTTCCTTTGACTATCGTAATATCTAATTTCAGTGTTACTGTGATTCATATAGAGATTTGTTCAATATACACAACTGTTTTAGAAATCCTGAGTTTGGAAAAATTTCCCGTTTGGCTCGTACAGCGGTGACAGCCTCCATTAGAGTCATACTTCTCTTGAGCATGAGGAAAGAAATGACCATAGTCGAGGAACGACTGATCCCTTCCATACAGTGGACATACACTTTGTTACCTGGAAGAAAAATGGCAAACTCATGATAAAGTTTGAAAGAATTAAGAAAAATTAAACTGTAATAAACCAAAGGGGCCAAAATACAACTTCTCACTCAAAGCCACCAGGTGTATAATTACAGAATGGAACTGAACCTGGAATAGATATTTGGTACTTCTACAAAAATGGAAATACATTGTATGTAGATATGGGTGGGCCTATAACATTCATGGGCTTATTTTGAAATAAAAAAAGATTATTATACAAATGATCCTTTTTAACATTTTCTTCGTGTTACAACAATTTACAGCCAATATACATTTACATGATGAAGAAATTATCATGTTGGAATAGAGGCCTGTAGCAAGCCCTATTAAGGCCAGGAGGTCCCCCTTGGTCAGAATAGAGTTGAAATCTTCCTTTCTAAGAATTTCTCAAATTGGATGCAGAGCTGATCAATTGATGAGTGGCCAGCATCAGCCTTTGTCAGTTAAAACACTCGCTTTTTTCATGAATATATTGATTTTTATCCTCTTTATGAGGGCAATGACACTGTAGTAAAACAATACAGCCCTCTGCTGAAAGCAGTACATTTGTGTTCAAATGTGTTATGTAATGCATTATTGTCTGGCTGTTAACAGTATTTAACAAAGAAAGGCTGGAGTAAAGAACCTTCTTTACCGTGAATATAAAATTGGATTTAGTTACCTTGATTAATGCGCTGGCTAAAGATAAGCAATGAGAAGGAACTGACTGGTCTACACCATTGTGCATGTATTGATGCTATGATAATATCTCACTTTTCTTTCTTGTATCATAATTATCACTGTCATCATCATTATTGCTTTTTGAATTTTTTGTTTGTTTGTTTGTTTGTTTGTTTGTTTGTTTGTTTGTTAAGCTAAAAAACAGCATTTTGGATGCCTTTAACAATATAAGGAAAAGACGACTTCATAAAAATGTTTAATTGACATTTACAACAAAGAAATGTTATAATGACAGAAATTACCTTCAGAAATAAGTGCAGCATTAATAAAATCAGCCGCGGGAACAAAATGTGGACTGATATCACAAGTAGAAATATCCATAGCCTTGATACCATAGAAACTGATACCAGCCTCACTAAAGTGTTCTTCATCTGTATTGATCTGGTTGATCTTGGAGCCCTGAGCACAGTTTAGCACATGAGTGACTCCCATTTTCTTCAGCTTTTCAGGATCTTTAGCACATACACTGGAATGTAGATTATGAATATTTTCTTTCAAGTCAATTTCAATTTTTGACTTGTTGTATTTTGACGTAGAGATTTTCAATTAAACACAGTTAAACTTTGATAAGAACAACATGACATGTTCAAATTGCTTTACTATGACTGAACAGAAGCTATCAATATATGCATATTAGTGAACATGATTAGATGCTAAATATGTAGTGGCATGTTTGTATCCTTTCATTACTTTTAATTGAATCCTTCAATGAGAGTAATATAATTCATTCTACATGTAGCTGGGAAAAGGTTTACAGGTCTATAAATAAGTGTACATGGTTATTGTCCAGCTTCCATGAATATTTGTTTGTAAGTTAAAAGTGCAAGGTCTGACTATGTAGAATACAACCAAACAAGAAGACTAAAGTTACACAGAACAATATATGCCAGGCCATAGCAATAATCATGATTGATTGCATTGAAATGAATATCAATATGGAAATGGTTACCTTAATCAAAATGCCAAGAGGGTATAGAGTATTATATATCATGATGATGAATTACAGCATACCAAATTCTAGAGAGATGGGTTCAAAATTAAGTAAAGAAATGTCTTAACAAGATTATACTGCTAAGAAAAGGGACAACAACTCTTTTCAAGTTTGGAAAAACAAAGGGCAATAACTCCTCCACAAATCGATGGATCAAACTGCCTTTCAGGAACATACAATTTCATGTCATCTCATGGTGATTAAGTCTAACAAGTTAGAGAAGTGTAAAAGCAATCAGTTGAAATTAGTTGGAGGAGATCTCTGGATAAACAATCTCATTCACCTTAACTATCCCGTCAAATTTTATAAAAAGTGAAAATATTAGGGATAATAAATGACACGATCAGACGAAATCAAAGAATTTTTTGTTGTTGTTGACTTAATTGAAATTTTTTCACTGACAATGCTAAACTTGACCCCACAAAATAATGTGTTGTACAGAAAGGGGGTTACAGGTAAGGATTTAAACCAATCACACTTACTGATTCCCTAGTATAATTCCAGGGTAGACCTCGTTGAAATTGTTCTTTGGTCCCAGTGGAAGTCTGAATGCATTAGGTTGGATTGGCTTCGGAGCATCAGCATCTCTTCTTTCCTGGAGGTAGCCTTTTACGCTATCAAATGTTTCCTGAGTGTAGTCGGCCATACTTCTTGTTTGCAGGTAATTCTCACATAAAAAATAAGTTGTTTCAACACCTGAAACAGCAAAATTTAGAACAAATATACAAAATGTACATATAATTATTTCAAATAAATATGACAGCACAATTTTTTGTGATGGTGATGATGGTCAAATGTAATACTTTTATGATCAAGAGGAAATTATTTCAACTCACCTTTACTTCACTTTACCTCTCATATTGGTTTTGCTAGTTTTGTTTGAGCTCCAGGCATTTTTTTCTGAACTTCAGAAAATACCATTGGCAACTCCATAAAACTCAAAACATATATCCTTGGTGCATTAGTTTTGGACCCCTTAAGTACCATCTCACTAACTATGCTATGTCAACAAATTGCCACCAAACAAAACGTAAATAAATTAAAATGACCTGGAATAAAATTCACACAACTAAGTAGCAAGGGGAACATATACATGAAATTTGAGAAATAATCATCATGAAATAGCAATAACAAAAATTATTTACAGACGGACGGATGGACTATGGACCACAGATGCAGGGCAATTCGGATAGTCATTGATGACCTCAATTTTGCTCACCTGAAATGATTAACATGTGTATTGGACATGTGACTGCACTTGCATTTCTGATGACATCACTAAGTCACAGAGATGCTAAGGTCTGCTTACAGTGACCCAGAAGTACAAAGGCATTACAAAAAATCATCATCAGGAATGACATTTGGATGACAGCAAAAAATAAAAAAAAAAAAAAAAATAATGGTACAAAAAATGATGTATATCTGTGTTGATGTGTGCTTTGGTTGTTTTTGCTCAAATATACCATATTTCTTGGAAAATTTCGTTTTTACAACACAAAATATTTAAATGAAGTTAATTTTTCATCGTTCAGGGCTCGCGCTGTCGATCGCCAAAGGCGCCATTGGCGAAAGTGAAATGAGATTGGCGATTTCAAATTTCGATTCATTCATGAGTCATCGAAAGTGAGACATTAAAAAGCACCACTTTTTCAATATAAGATGTTCTTGTTCACACATTTGTAACCAAAAAATGCAAGGTGTGGCCTATTATTCCTGATCGATTTTCATTCACTGAACAGACGACAACAAAACATTGGTAGTCGAGGGTGGATTGATAGTTTATTTCATCATATGTGGGAGGATGTTTGGCATGTAAAAATGTGCATTAAGAAAGTTACATAAATTTACAAAAAAAATCTCAAAAAGTTTATGGTGGATGGTTTCAATCACGGATATCCATTCTCTGGAAACCTAACATGTTACAGCAACCAATATTATCCAGGTGCGAGGTCAAGCAGGTCAAAGTGATACGGGTCGACAAATTGGTCGTTCCGAAACGCATGTCGGTCAGGCTCATTCAAAAAACTATTCAATGTCTGGTCCAATTTAAGTTAACTAACTTTAAAGTGTAGTAGAGCCCTTATTTAGCATGTCAACAAAAGGGTTACAGGCTCATTAAAAAAACTATTCAATGTCTAGTCCAATTTAAGTTAACTAACTTTAAAGTGTAGTAGAGCCCTTATTTAGAAATACTTATGAGAAATGGGAACAACAAAAGGGTTTTATTATAACTATAGCAACAATCAAACTTTAACTATAGCTATATTTATGTACATGTGTATTTTCTATACCTGTATATTATGTATTTACATATATGAGTCTGGTGTAGAGGACTGATAATCTAGATATACCGCGATTAGAGGGGAAAAAAATAAATGAACGCTGATGACAACGAATTTTCCTTCACTCATCTACAGGTAATAAACATTGCGTTCAAATCAAAATAATTTCATTTAACTAATAATTTTACATACGTAGTTTCTAAGCGGATTGAAAAAATATGAAATGCCTCAAAATATTGAAATAACACCATTTACGACTTACTTACTATTTCCTTGGTGTTTCCCGCAGTTTTTTGTTTATTTCACAAGAGTACCTTCCCTTTACCGGTATTTCACCATTCGGAATAATATTTGAAATCAACGTCGTCAGAACGTTTTGAATTATTGATTACGAGCCTTTTATTGATCATACACGATTGAGCACGATTGAGACCCTGACACGGAAACAATAATGGCGGCTTTGCAAACTCTGGTTTGCGTTATAGCCGGAGTATTCTTCCGGCTTTGGCTTTACAGATCATTTCTCCCAGAATGGCTTTCAACGAGAGCAGAAATTGTGACACCGATGACCTCATGGGAGAGAGGTATGTTTTTATTTGAATGATAATTACAAGTGCTCATGTTTGTATATCCCCCCTCCCTAGCCGGCCTAGCTCTGACAATTTTGCAGCTAATCAAGTACATGTAAATGTATTTACCTATCTTTAGAGGAAAGGTCATTTTGAGTGGAAGTCAGTTAGTGATAGCTGGTAGCTACCTCATCGAATAGGTATGAGAGGCCCGTCGGATGTAATCCAGACAAATTAACAAAATAAGGAATAGTGCTCCTAAATACCCAAGGAAACAACCACGTCAGCACGAACCGGTCCATTTCCCAATTTCATGAGAAACACATACTGACATAGGTGAGGAGCGTTGATTCACACACCCCTGATTTTCACCTGATGTTAAAAAGGCTACCCCTCTTAACCGAATGGTCGAGCTGTCGAAACCCCTTTAATGGTTAACAGAGATGGAAAGTATATATAACTGAATTATAAGCCACCACTGAGGATCAAACCCAGTCAACTGCCATTCAAGTGAAGCTGAAGGGAAATTCCCTATAGTGCTTCGTTGAAAATGACCACATCTAAAACACCACATACAGTTAAAATCTTCCACACTACATTCCCTTCCAGTTGTGTTCTCTTGCCTTAGCTTGTATGGTATATGCTTAATTGATCATTGTGAAGATTGGGAAAATTCAAAAATTTATGTATATGATATATATGAATTATATATAATTTTGACCCTCATGCATATAAAAAACACAATACAAAAGTTTTCCTGTCATCATATTTTTTCAAAAATTTTCCCAGTTCACAAACTACAACCCAAACAAGTGCTGTTCATGTACACGTACAAACCAAATGCACTTTCCAGCAATCATTTCACAAAATGTGTCTTGATAGTGCCATACACAAGTTCCTTTAATTTGTCAAAACCAGATATGGTAATGTGCTAGTTTCATATTTGGATATGGATGTTTTACCCTTTTATATTGTTATAAGAAGGAGTAAGGAAAAACACCCAGCCACTGGTGGGGTTAACGTTCAAACAAGCAGCCCATCAGTCTCTAGCTAGACAATTTACCACTTGTCTAAAGGGAAATTCCTAATAGCTGAGGCTGGCAAGGGGACCTGTACTCTGAGCTTCTACAATATAAATGAATTAGTTTTCTTTTAATTTTGAAAACAGAAAACACAAATTGTATATACACTATTGTTATGGCACTTTAAGTTAGTGTTTGCAATTTCTTTTACAGCAATGGAAGGCTTGTCTCTGAAGCAGAGTTTTATTTCTCCATATTCAGGAGACCTTTTTCATGAGGTTTGTATTTTGTGTTGTATTTCATATTTTATTTGGAATGTCCTTTTTGTCTTTCAGATAAGATACTCTTTCTTTAAACTGAAGCTTATTTCATAGAGTATAGTTAATTGCAGCCTTGTGAGGCTTTTCCTTTTGGTCTAATTATTTGACAAATCGCAACCTATTAATTATCCAATATTAGATTAGATTGAGATAAGCCTACCCCCATTTTTGCTGCATGAGCTTTTCTCTGGTAAAATAGTTAAAAAAGACTGGTGGTTTCGGGTTCCCTCTAAAGGGATGGCTTGTTGATCTAGATTTGTTACATGATTCATGTGCCCATATAGGGACACAAAGACATATGAACATAAATATTAAGCCTTACCAGTATTCCATACACATTGTTAGTTAAGATTGTGTAGGGGAATTCAGTACAAATTCTTTCCAAAAGAAATATGTGACCCTGTTGAGATGCTAGTTGTTTTCTTACAGCTCAAGGAAGTAGGTTTCCTGTTTATAGCGTATTTGTTAGAAGTCATTACATGTTCATAAAGCAAGAGGTCAATGGGTCTGGTCTTAAACAGAATCAATTAAATATATGTTATTATCTGATCAATTATCATATATTTGTATATAATCTGTATATAAAGGACGTTTGTGATTCACATTATCAGATACACAGATTTGTTTCATCATCTGTGTATGAAGGTCTTGTTATTAGATATAATATGCTTAATCATATAAACAGGATCATCTAAATGTTATATTTTATGAACTAGTACCAATTTCATTTCAATTCCAGACACCTTTGATGCTGAGGTTATTGGGCTTCATGAGCAAGTTTTCACAAAACAACATCAATTTGATGTTTGTGGTAAGTTCTGAGTAATTGTTTTGTCACCTTTATACTTGATTTAATAGTTATTTACAAAAACTCAGTACCCAGACTTGTAAATTTTCAAAATCTTAAAAAATAATGTTGGAGTGTTGTGTTGTAAATGTGTTATATATATAGAACTTCTGTCCTCTATTTCATATTGACTTTAGATTATTGTTAAAGTTAATTGTATGAATTTTTTGTGTTATACCTAATTATCATGACTGTTGAGATAAGGGCACAGGTTAAAATATTCAATGTTATTTAATATTCCAGTGGGTTTTGGGTCCAACATACTTAAGTCCTGCTCTCTGCTTTTCCTTAGGGACTAACTCAAATTTTGAAAACCTGCTATTTCTATCTCTTAAGTATTGAGACTCATTAAAATTTGAATTGATATTCTACACTTGAATCTTACAAAAATCACTTGTCTTTCAAGAATTGAGATCGGGCAATGTTTATCATTTGACTTTAAGATACACACTATGTGTATAGTGTGTGATTCACTTAAGCTTTTTATGTGTGATTCACATTTTCTGTGCATTGGTGTGATTCTTATTATCTGTGTACCTATACATCATGTAGGATTTGCATTTAGGTGTGATACCTATTATCTGTGTTTTGATATAATTTGCATTTTCAGTTCGTAGGTGTTTCACATAATAATTGTATACCAGTATAATATTCAGTTGGTAGGTATGTTTCACACTTTTAGCTTGTAGGTTTGTTTTACATTTTCAGTTTGCAGGTGTGAATCGCACAATAGATGTGATTCACATAATAATTATAGATGATTTTAAAGTAAGTAGGTGTAATTCACATTTTCAGTTAATCCTGTGTAATTCAAATATAGCTATACCTATGTAAATGTGTGATTCACAGTTTCTGTGTATAGATATGTTTGATACATTATTTATCATGTATGCTCATGTGTGTGTTTTTCTTTCTCCCAGATATCTAACAAAGTACCCAATATTCCATATTTCAGGCCTTTGATTTGGTGTGTGCTATCCTGCTGTTGAAAATTACAAGGATGTTCGGAGGATATTTGGTAATTATAAATATATATATATCAATGCATTCCATTAGGCCAAACACAGATGAAGATATGTTTTTGAAAGGTCTGACAAATATTTAGAAAAATATTTAAGGAAAAAATTGAGAGAAGTGGAAGGATATGTAGAGTTAAAGTGCTGCATGAATGTTTTTTATTTTTATTTTAAGAGACAAATAACATTTTCCTCATTCTTCATCTCCAAAAATCTTCAAGTGTAGTGACACTTAAACCATACAATTCTTATTGCCTAAGTGATCTACAGGTTATTCTTTATTATAAATATTTAGAGAGGTGACTTGGATAATGTAGGAGATACAGAATACACTCGCAATAACTCCTGTGTTGTAGATTTTACTGTTATTTCCAAGACAACTATTGTACACATTGTAATGATAGATCAATAAACCAGTGGGTGAATTATTTCAGCTTTCTTGAGTTAATCCTTGGATATAAAAGATTTCAACTTATTCCCATCACAATCTGTTTGTATAGTTAATGCATCAGGCCCATAATGTCAAGAACTATGCTACTGATGTAGATAGCCTTATTCTGCGAACAGAGGACCTACAATCTGTCCAGCTGTTTGTCACAATAGCGTGAGTATTCCTAGGTAGTTCATCCATGTTTATTTAACTTTCAGCATTGTCATACATTTCTGGGTTGTTTCATCCTCAGAGTTATATACAGACAAGAAATGTTGTGTCCTGTGACCTGTCAGGGATTTGTAAACTATAAATTGTCCCATTTACTTTCTAATACTAATGTGTTAGAAAAATGATCATGCTGAAAATGTTTGTTCCTCAACAAATTTCTCTCTCTACCTGAAATGTGCTGAATGTGAAAAATTGCAAAAAAAACCCAATGAAAATCTAACCCATTGCTTAAAGGTTTCAGTTTATTTAATTCTTCAAATATTTATCCAATTGAAAAAAGGCTGTTTATGAATATACATTTCTTAAAATCATATTGTGGTTTTACTTTTCAATTATTGATAAATGAACTAATGTTGAATTTTATCCCTGTGTTTGATGGAACACTGTAGTTCTATTAAATTATGCTTTGTCTCTACCTTTTCAGTCATGCTTTCAATCCATACTGTATAGCAGCCTGCCTTGCCAGGTCTACAGGCATTTTCAACAACATGGCAATCCTGTTTACCATGTACTTCTTACTGAAGGGTAATGTTGTTTTCTTTATATAATTTTAAAATTGCAGGTCATACATACTCCAAATGATATTATGTGCTTAACTTTGAATATCACAGTGGAGCCACTGTATTGAGTTATTGTCCTTCAATAGCATACATTGTCTGGCTTGAGATATGATTAATATACTTCTTCATCCATTATTTCCCTATATATTCAGAGGTATTGTCCTTTGTTATTATGTTTCATCTATTTTGAGGCATATTTAACAAATCTTTTTACCTGTGGTACATCATTTGATATAGAGTTATTGCCCTTTACTAACTTTACAAGATCTTACAATGTATGTTGATAATTATATAGAATGTTTTTACTTTTACAGGTAACAAAATTATGTGTGGATGTTTTTTGGCATTAGCTTCCTACCTCACAATGTATCCCATCATCCTTTTGGCTCCAGTGGCTATTTACTTTTACAAGGTTCGTATGATGTAAGGGTAATATTTAGTTCTTTCTCAAATAAAAGAACAGGAGTGTCAGTCATGTCTTCAGAAATACCATCAATATCAGTTATATGAGATCTGACCATGTAAGTGGAAGATATGAAATCTCAACCCTTGTAGTTAGATTCTGAATCAGACCTGGGAATAGCCATACGTTTTCAACATAAGAACTTTACCCTTTGGGTTGAGAATCCTCTTTCTCACACCATTTTGAGTGAATGATACTTTAAGTCTTAACAATATTTTGCAATAAATTGGATTTAAAACATATTTGCTTGGCAAACATTGATTTGATAGTCCATCTGAGCTAAGGGATGATGTGAATTGTCTAATATGAACAGATTCAGTGTATTGTATTTCATTCAACACATATATTTCTGATATTTGAAATGTTTTGATATTTACTGATACAAATAATTTGGACCATTCGTTCAATAAACAACAAGATTTAGAAAGTTATTTTTGTTTCGCTACAAACTATCATAATTATACTTTGTCCAAATTTTTTGTTTAAATTTCCATTTGTAAGCATTCCAAGCCTGCCAGTGAGACTTACTGTGATCGCCAGGCCCTGTTCAGCTATTCTCAGATCAGTTTCATCACACTGACTTGGTTAGCAGCATTTATCGGTGTGTCAGCTTACCTAGAACAATCCTGGGATTTCCTGTACTCAACCTATGGTTTTACGTAAGCATGCAAACAAAAAAGGAAACTTCCTACTGAAATTTATACAAAAGCTTTTCTATAAAATTTGATATTTTGCAGGACAGAATTCACAACCCTCTATGAGTTTTATTATTATGTTTTAGTCTTATGTAAGATATCATAGTTCTATATTCTGTTGAACTGATAGAAATTCATTAGTAATTCAATCATGTGTTAATTTTCTAATTTGACAGCAAAGTATGTTAATTTATTTTCTGATTTGAGAGGAATTTTACACAGAATTTAATATTGCTTTGATTTAAAACATTGTTTTTTATTTCAATAAAATTGACATGAATTCATTTTTTATATTTGACAAATTAATCATTTTGCTTGATTATGGCAGTTGTTTTAGGAGACTTAGAATATCCAGTTATTTCTCTAATTTCTGTGTTTTCAGATTGACTGTGCCGGATCTGACACCAAATCTGGGGGTTTTCTGGTATTTTTTTACCGAGATGTTTGAGCATTTCCGCACTTTCTTCATCTTTGTATTTCAAATCAATGTCATCATCTACACCGTTCCACTCTCTGTCAAACTCAGGTAAGAAACAGTCAGTGTTGCTCTAGAAAATAATCATGAAATGAAGACATACAGCATTGTCTTGTAAACTGCGATTTAACCATCAAGATCCATGTAAAACAGCTGAATTACAGGTAAAATTTTGTCAGATTTAAAAAAAGGGGTGTAATGCCAAATAGCAGTCACTACAAGTTTAATGTTGTGACTTGTGTTATAACAAAATTACATTAGTCTACAGATATATCTGCTACAAATAAAATTTGATAGAGTATCCTTTTTCAGTGCAACTGATTGAATCACCAAAAATTACTGAAAATTTTCATTTTTTTTTTTTTTTTAATATTTTCTAATGGTTAACAAGATTTTAATGATGATATGAACTAAAATGTATCTTAAATGTTGTGGTTACATTTCATCCTTTAAAAAAAAACAAAAAATGGTTATTATCTAAAAAATCACATTCTATAGAGTAGAAATAATTACTGAATGAAAATGTAATTGAAGAAAATTTAACAACTGAAGGACAATGAAGACAAGGCCTGAGGACAGCATTTCTACTGATGGAAATCGCTGATTAAAAAGCCTCATACCTTTAAATTTTATTGGTTACTATTCACCAAACTTGTTTCTCAGTCTCAAAAACAACCAGTTGTAATGTAATTTAACCTATTAAAGAAATCAAGAGGTTGTAAATATTGATAATTACACAATGACCCCAGGTATAGTGTTGACCTAAGGATCAAATTATTCATCATGAAAGACATATTGAGTTGTTTCCCTTTGTATACTTACATTTTTTTTTAAAGAACCTTCAACTGTCATGATGTTTTTTACAGATGTACAGATTGTTTACTGTTATGACGATGTTTATGTGTATCTGACAAAGTTATTGCCCTTAAGTGGGAGAGATTGTGACCTGTTGTTTTCACTTTTAATTTTTATATTGATCACCTCAAGTATATCATGTTATCCATGGGCATGTATTGTAATAAATATTCCTTGCAAATGATATCTCAAAATGAATGTAGTTTTCCAATAAGAAATTTCCGATAAATTTCAATATATTAGGTAATTTTCTTCTGACTTTACTGACTCAGAGCAGTGATAACTATGTCAGTGACAATCTGAGGTGTTTGGTTCAATTCTAATAACCTAAGGCGGTTTTGTTTTTCATGAAGCTGAGAAATGAATCATTCTGTGTTGTCATGATTGTGTCCTTGGCAAGACATTTTACTCTAGCAGTTCTGGATGATTGGTCTCCCTTCTCTAACAGTTCTGGATGACTGGTCTGCCTTCTTTTAACAGTTCTGAATGGCTGTCTCCCTTTTCTGATAGTTCTAGATGACTGGTCTTCCCCAATCTAATAGTTCTGGATGACTGGTCTTCCCTACTCTAACAGTTATGGATGGCTGGTCTCCGCTTCTCTAACAGTTCTGGATGACTGGTCTTCCCTACTCTAACAGTTCTAGATGACTGGTCTCCCTTCTCTAACAGATCTGGAGTACTGGTCTCCCCTTCTCTAACAGTTCTGGATGACTGGTCTCCCATCTCTAACAGTTATGGATGACTAGTCTCCCATCTCTAACAGTTCTAGATGACTGGTCTCCCTTCTCTAACAGATCTGGAGTGCTGGTCTCCCCTTCTCTAACAGTTCTGGATGACTGGTCTCCCATCTCTAACAGTTATGGATGACTGGTCTCCCCACTCTAATAGTTCTGGATGACTGGTCTTCCCTTCTCTAATAGTTCTGGATAAGGAGTCTTTCTTAATCTAACGGTTCTGGATGGTTGGTCTCCCTACTCTAACAATTTTGGCTGACTTGACACGTGAATTTTGTTCAGTAAGGTAGCCACCAGCTACTTCGGGGTAATTCTTGCCTCAGAATGACCCGGCTATTCATGGAATGCTAACAAACAAACAATACTAAAAATTGATAAATATTTGTCTGGACAATTTAGAAGTATTAATTAATTAAGAAATTAAGATATCCTGTATGTTTATTGTAGAGAACATCCACTTTTTCTGCTGTACCTCCTAATCTTCCTGATTGGAATATTTAAATCCTATCCCAGTTTTGCTGATGTGGGACTCTTTCTGTGTTTACTACCTTTATGGAAACATGTGTTCTCATGTAAGTATCTATGTAGGTAATATTGGGTGAATGTAGATTAATGCGTTAATTAGGAGTTATGTCTTTATAAATGTAGACAAATTAAGCATTGCCTCAAACATAGATGCTGATAGGTGAAAAAGAGTCATTTTAAGTGTTTATTTATATGAGTCAAAAGAGATGTTATTGATTTTGTGTTATTCTCAATTTATGTAAAACTTTTTTGAGTCTCTAAACTCTACAAAATTCATGCTCATTCTATAGAAGACAACTCAGAAAATTGTTTTGTAAATGGAAAAATATAGATCGTGTGCATGATCCTTTTAAACTTTGATTTGATGAATTCTTTATATGTGAAATGTGAAAGCAGTAAAATAGACATTACAGTAATGTAGTGTCATCCATATCGTAGCATACATGATCAACAAAAACCCAACTACACCACTAGATGATGCATCTTATGTGAACATAAATTGAGTAAAGAAATAAGAAGTCAGAGGAAGAAATAGGTATTATTACATACAGTGGATAAACAGTTTGAATGTATTTATTTATAAAAAGAACATTGAATCTAGATCTAGTGTGGATCCTAATTGTGCAATACTTAATATCTATTTCTTTTCAGATATGCGTAATACATTTGTAGTGACATGCATGTTCATCTGTACGACGGTGTTTGCGCCGATCCTTCATCATCTATGGTTATATGCTGGAAGCGCTAATGCTAACTTCTACTTTGCCATTGCTTTAGTGTTCTCAACAGCCGAGGTAAGACCACATATTCACGGAAAATAAAACCTAAAATTAGACTTCAATATGATACTAGTACATGTCATCTTTGCAAACTTGTTAAAATAGTCTTCACTGAATTTTAGCACAAGAAATGTGAATTATGAGCAGGTTTATGTATATCATATAAGAGAAGAGTTAAAAACTATTACTGTTTAATATATATGTGCTGCTTTTTCAGATATTCCTAGTCACAGACCTTCTTTTTGCATTTCTGCGTCGAGAGTATGACATTCATCACGGTAAAAAACACATAATGCCTGACGGTTCACAGGGACAAGTGATACTGGACTAAGACACACTGCTGGGACACTGTCATGTTTATTTATAGAGATGAGAGAGCTCTTGTAAACAAAATGTAGAGAAGAAGCTGATACTGGCACAAAATAAAGATCGTGATCTTTTGAATTATGAAAGTTTTGAGAAAATCTTACGAGGCTTTTATCAATAACTGCAGATGGTCCTGATTTGTACCTGAATTGTTACATTTAAAAGATAACATATTGGTTTGTTTGCTGTTGGTTTGTATGTGTAAATGAAAGCAGTTCTAGACTTAATGTGTCTGTTTAGCATCAGACCACTTTCTTGTACGTGTGTGTCAATTTTCAATCGGCTGGAACTGTTTGACGAGAATTCAAATTTGTGAAACAGTGTGAGATATGCTGATATTATTACTGACAGACTTTTCTGAAGGTTTCAAGACCTGTATCAGTATTTAATGGTCTGAACGGGTTTACCTCAGATGTTGTTAGGTTTTAAAATACAACAAAACTGTTAAGATCTTTTTGCAGAATTGAAAGATTATCGTTATTGCACCTGTAAGATGAGATGTATTTAATCAGTTGAACAATTAACATGACAGGACAACAGTTTTCCTTGTCAGCAAATTTGTTTTCTGACATAACCATACTGATGACTCCCTTCATAAGTGTCTCGCTGTGTGCTACTTTCATTACTGAAGTGGAACTGTTAGTGTTATCACAGTAACCGTTTAGATAGAAAAAACATTATAAAAATCAGGAGATCATAACAGAAATCACCTGCAGCTATACCATGTAACAATATCACTGCTGTTATATATTGATAGATTTAATTGAAATACACAAGGTCAACTTTGTTAAAAGAATTATCTTCATTATGGAGAAAAGCAATGAATCGGGCATGATATTTTTAGAGCATTTAGTGTGAATAGGTGTAGATCTTTATATCAAAATGATATTGTTTTTGAAAGAGTTATGTAAAAATGCACAGTTTTTCAATGTGTTCTTTATAGAAAATTGATTGGATTGTGGAAAAAAGTGATAGTCCTGTCAGAGATTGCCAATCTGTCTGTAAGAAAAAATGAGTAAATATAATGAAGATAGTAACGTGGTAAAGAAATATGTTTAAGTGTGGTGTTATCTATCCGTCCTCAAGCTTTTTCACCTCCATCTTACACCAAGGCCATTTAAATGAAATCTACCACTGACCTATTTTTAAGTTTTTTAGGTTTGTAGTTTAGTAATCATAGTCCCCCACATTCTACTTTGTTACAGTCATTTGTAAATGTTATTAAATAAGACTTTGTACCTTGTCCAAAAAAGCAGTGATCAGTGCTTTGAGTTCCATAGCGGGCTTTTTACCTGATACAAAAAAGCACTCATGAATGTTTGGTGTGCCAATGTTTCTGTTTTTTCATTTTAGATGGAAAATATAAAAACGTGAAAAAATAAATCAGTTGATGAAATAATGAAAATTGAACAGTGAAGTGTTCTTTGAGGGATTAAAATAAGTCTATATACATTGCAGATTTTACAATACTATGTCATGAAACTGCTGTAATGAGGAAAGTATATTTACAAAGATTGTACAAAAGCTTTTTTGCATGTTAATCAAGACCATATTATTTATTTGTCAGAAAAAATGTTGAATTAACTTAGCTTTCAAAAGTACTGATTTTTGAATTAGTAAATGTATCTTAATCAGAGTATATGTGTTTTATAGAACTGTTTAATGTATTTGTTCACTTATAGATATGTATTGTGATTTAATCACGTCATCACAACTACAAGCCTAGAGAGACAATGTATTGAATGATTAATTTTTGTGGATTTCAAATAAATTTAGTCAGATGCATCCTTTGGGGAAGCTGTTCAATTTTTATTATAAATGGTGGATTTGACCTACTTGTGTACTTAGAGGTATGACCAAAATGGGGAAATTTAGTAAATTCTTTAAACTACTAATCTTGAGAAAATGATAGCATTTTATCCAAATTTAGTTTGAGGCATTCTCATGTGAATGGGACTCAATTCCATGTCTTTGCCCCATGGGGTCAGAGGGGTGGAGTCCAAAAGGGGAAATAAAGCAAATGTTTTTAGGATTTTTCTTCTTCTATTGGAATGACTGAATTCTGCCCTAATTTAGTCGGAATCATCCTTTGGTGAAAGGAAAACAATTTTGTATAAACAATGGTTCTTGGAGTGGGGCCTGATTGGATAAATTGAGCAAATACTGAAACCCCATTTTTTTCTGTAGAAATGTCAGAATTTTACCCTTTTTAGGTCTGGAATATTGGGTAAATTAGACTCAGATTTTCGGCCCTCTTGGGCAAGAACTTCTTTGTCCAATAGGGACAAATTCTTTAAAATCCTTCTTCTGCTGATAAAAATGCACAGATTTTATCACAATTTGATCTAAATTATTGTTTGATGAAGGGGTATCAAATTTGTATAAACCATTGGTCTCAGCCGCCTGGGGCAGAAGGGGCAGAACCAAATAGTAAATAGGGAAAATTATCTAAGATCTTTCTTTTTCTTTTGGAATGTGAGGATTCTGTCAAAATTTTGTCTGAAGCGTCCTATGAAAATGAAAAGAGTACATTCCATTCTTACGAAAGATCTTGCAGTGAGAAATCTCTCAGCCTGTAGGGTACCAGGACTTCTAACAGTTGATCAGAAGCATGCCTTTAGACTTTGTTGTGTGCTAATCTGAACCTTTTAGAGGCAGATCCTGCTTACTTTCTGCAGAACTTCGTGACTGTGGATAAAACCCAAGTCCATCAGTCCACCCCAGAGTCCAAACAACAATAAAACAATGGAAGCATCGTGGAAAGGTTAAGGCCTCGCTGTGTTTTCTGGGATGCTGCTGATATTCTGATGGTAGATTATCTGCAAAAGGGACAGGAAAAGTCAATGTCACATATTATGTGTCATTTGTTTGGCAGTTAAAACTTGGTAAAGGTGTGTTGTTTCACTAGAACAAAGCCCTCGTCTCAAGTCTGTCATTACCATGGCTGCCATTAATAATTGTGACTTTGAATTGATTGATCATCTGTATGTCTGATATCACTCCATCAGACTTTCATTTAAAAAGTCTCATGGTGACCTACTGCAATCACCTTGGGCCTGGTGTTGTGATTCTGTAAACTTTAAAGATTTAGGTCATCTCAAAAACACCTGAAACGATTTCAATGATTTCAAATTTTACAGAAACCTTCTCTTACAAAAGATGAACCAAAATAGTGAATTATAATGGTCCTTACCCCCAAGGGGCCAGAGGAGTGGACCAAAATTGTAAAATTTACTAAATTTTCAAAAATCTTCTCAACATGGAGATATGGTATAATCAAATGCTCTTCATGAATGGAGGCATCTTAACTTGCTGTACAAGAATTGTGAATTTCATGACCCCAGGGTCTCACATTTCCCACTGGGGAGGGATAAAGTTTACTAAAGTTTATATAGGAAAATTGCATGTTTTAGTGTAATTACTAGTATAAGATGACAGATTGATGGCATGCACATATTGATCCTGGCTGAGCCACATGGGCTGATGGGCAGGGCCAAAACGGGTCAAATGGATTTCAAGTTTTAAAATCTTCTCAACACATATGTAGCATGTTGGAATAAAAAGCTTGCCCTGGTAGGAAGGGTTTCAAGGTGTTTGACAGAGAATGTGAATGTCATGGACCTACGGTTTCGCCTTTCCCCCTGGGGAGGAGTTGAAGTTTACCATAATTTTTACAGAAAAAATGCATTTTTGAGGATAACATTGTTTAATTTCCATTGGCAATAACTTTGACAGTATTATAGTATAGGGTGACAGTTTTGATGATTTGCATATATTGACACTGTCTTACTATCATCAATGTCACCATTTCTTTTTCATGACACTTGAAAGCTACTTAACCTTTATGTTCAATATTGCTGACATCAGGTGACTAGGTGTCAAGACTGCTAGGCGTTTTGTTTTTTAAAGTAATGAATTCATGGCTGTATCAGGACATTTCCCTGTTTCCTATGTCATCACATTGAGAATGGTTGTAAATTCTCATTGTGGTTCTGATGGCATCTTACCTTACACAATTTGTGGTGTCACAGTCTTGGTTGGCATCCTGAAAGAGAAAGGACTAGAATCAAATTGCCATTTTAGGTATCTCTTTATGGGAAAATGTTGTTTTCACAAATATTTTCGACAAACATTAGTCTTGTGAAATATCTTAAATGTGGTTTCTATTATATAAAGCTTTTTGGAATTCTTTATTCATGTTAAATGTTTTTTTTCTCTCTTTTAAAAAAAAAGAAAGAATGCCAACATCGAAAACTTTTGTTGGTCTAAAAATATGTGAAAGACTCGCCCAATAATCAATACATTTCTAAGATGAAATTTAAAAAAAGAACTATTGACTAAGTTTGTGTGATTGAATGTTTGTGATTTAAGAAATTTTTTGTATATTTCAGAATGTTATGACTAATGGAATCTCTTGTCTTTAATGATGTATATCAACCAAACAGTGTGCACATAATTAAATATGATCAGTGTTGATTTTGTTTGGTAGAAATAGATATTGTTGTCACTTATAGTGGGTAAGTTTTTGTTGTGAAACTATGTCTATTTTGATACAGAATTTCTCTTAATAAATAATGGAATCATGATGTTTTTGCATTCATAAGAGGTATTTAGACACAAAAACACAGCAATGAAAAGGTATTATTCAGAATGCATCACTAAAATGGTAATTAATACACTTATAATAAGATAATTACAATTTCCCTCTTGATAAAAAAAATGTTACTTATTGGATTCTGGTAACAATGTTACAATTTGGATTCTGGTAACAATGTTACAATTTGGATTCTGGTAACAAAGTAACAATTTGGATTCTGGTAACAAAGTTACAATTTGGATTCTGGTAACAAAGTAACAATTTGGATTCTGGTAACAATGTTACAATTTGCTTTCAGCAATTACAGTTACTGTTTTCCTTTTGGTAACAAATTTATGCATATTTCGTCCTTTGTATTAAAGTTGGCTATCAACTTGAATTCTGGAAACATATGTTTTAACATAAAATTTATCTTTCAGAATTTCAGAACTATTTACATACAGTACTTTATTTTAAACATTAAGCTGCCATGTTTAAGGATTTACGGTTCTTATATCTGACAACTTTTCCGAAAACATAATATGGTATGTTTGTCTGGAAAATTCATTTCTATTTATCTCATCAAAGTAATACAGAAGATTATGTTTATATTCAAACTCCTTACCCACATGCTCTGTCTTATGTCGGTTTTAATTTAATATGATGTCATTGTTTGTAGGCCAGGGAGTGGATGTCACTGTTTACATGACCTGCAGTCATCATAATGGATATTAATAGGTTAGTTTACATAGTGACATAGTCGTTACGATGTAAATACTCCATAAAGATTCACATAGTTACTCTTCATTTCAGGAGCAGTGAAATTTATTTACATAATGCAAATATGTTCTCATTTTACCATTTCAAAGCCTTCTTCAAATTCATTTATCTCAATTTCATTGTTTTATAGTGTTTTACTGGAAATCAATTTGTACATGCATTATAATAGGTTACCATGGTTACCATCTTGATCGTCTATATAATTTGTATGGAAATGAAATCGTGACACGAATGCCAGATGCTGTATATTATGAATGAAATTTCTGCATTTTGTTTTCGCCTGAAGGGTTTAGCTGACTTGGTACAAATGGCCTCCAGTATCAACATGCCATGATATAGTATACTTTGCTCACAACATATAAGACTTGGTTAGAGTTGGGAATTTGTATAAACACGTTCTGAAGGGCCTTGATTCAGTCTTTAAGAAATCAGAAGAAATTATATTTCTCATGAATATTTGGCCAATTCAAACAAGAAATTTAACGTTCTGTTATTGGTATTGAATAGAGGCGGTTGTATGTATTTCGGAGTTAGATATTGGTTTATCAATAAGAACACACACATGTACACTTCCCATCTATAATACATGTACAGCATTTTATCTGACCGATGTTGATGTTCTGGTGACTGATTTCACTTTATAGGCATTTTAAATCACTGTAGAGTCATAGAATGTATTTATATCACACCACAGTTTACATAAATGTGACGAGGAAAAATGTTACAGTATATTAATAGTGTTGATAAAAAGAAAGGAAAAAATAGCTTTTCTCGTGCACAGGGACTTTGCACAAATTCCCGACCCACGGTCCATATGTTATGAATACAAAATGATCCGTCAAGGAGTAGCGTTAATCCACTCCCTAAACCGTCCGAGGCAATCCAGGTTCTATACAACATAAATACGGATGATGACTTGACAAATCACTTCCAGCCTTTAACCAGCAAGTTTGACAGTAATGAGACAG